TTCATTTTTGGCTCCAGCTCTCTGGCTTAGGAGTCATTAGGCAACTCACTCTGCCACCTTCAGCCCTGTCCTGCTCTCTGGATCTCCAGCTTGGGCCCTCCTACAGCCTCCTTCACAAACCTTCCCCCTCTTATTCTCCCTGATCCTTATAGCCCAAGGTGCTACCACATCCTTGTAATTGGCCAAATTGGGAGCACATGTTCTGATAAATGGGTGATGGACCTGGTTCATTTAAAGAGGCCAGCCACCCTGTGACAAGGTCTCACTAAAAAGAGTGCAGCCTCATTAAGATAGCCTTATAGCCTTTAGTTATTAATATTAAAGAACAGAAAGAAAAATATAATCTTTTAAATGAAACCTGCCCACTTCTTCTGTTAATTCTGGGAGGGGGAATCAGTCCATACAACTGCTCCAAGTGGCTGGAAGCATTCCTGATTTTGTAGTTTCTTCAATGGGTTCAGTAACTCTTCTTAGTTCTGTAATTCCAGAGGAGAGAAGAAGCTGTTCACAGGGTATTCAGCAAACTCTCCTATCCACATGGTGACTTCTGGCTTATGTACCTTGTTTCTGGGTCTGTTGGAGCAGACAATCTTCTTACTTTCTATTGGACACTGATCAACTGGGCACTCAAAGTTCACCTCTTAGTTTCTCTCTGCTTCAGTCAGTATCCAATAGATGGTGGCAGTTTATAATAAATGTATTTGATGCTTCTCTTAGTCGGAGGCTTTAATTCATTCCCTGGATTCTATTTCAGCATTATCCCTGGTTATTAGCTGGGATTCCCCCACTATCATCAACATCATCCCTTTTTAAGCAATTGCTTGTAATATTCCAAAGTTATATTCTGGTTAGGTGCTTATGTCTTTCAATATTCCCTTTTCCTTCTTGTGCTATGCAATTCCTACCACTTCTAGTGTGCACCAATCATTTACAAAGAAAACTAACAAAATCCTTTATAATTCCTCTACACATCTACTGGACATAATCTATACATTCTTTGATTACATCTAATGTTTTTCATTGCACATCTTTCAGGACTTACCATAGGATATGAGACATAGCATTGGGGGAACAAGACAGATTATCTACCTAGAGAGCTGTGTATGTCAATCATAAGGCAAACACATATATAGTTTCTAATTTGAAAGATATATTATGGATCTTTGGGTAGTAGGCAGTTTGACCTCTGGAACTTCAGCGTTTTGTGGGTTGCCCACCAAGTTATATCTTAAACAGTTTTTCCCTTTTTGTCAACCCCCTGGGGTTCTATATAACCAGACCGAGAGTCTCTTTGGTTTGAGAGTCTAACAAAAGCTGGAAGACTCCTTTCCTGGAAAATGCGTACTTGAACTTTAGCTTAATTGATGCTCCCAGACAAGATGCCTCCTCTGTTGGAATGTGCATATTGATTCTCATTGTCTTTTATTCGGAGAGGAAGCCAAAGGTTTGGAATATGCATAGTGGGATTGGTGGTATTCTTATTTGCCACAAACAATCAAAATGGCAGAGAGAGAACTATAATTGGTAAAAATATATTTTCAAGGCATATTTGACACCTATGCTGCTTATACCATCAAGTTGCAAGCCTTTCAGTGTGTAGCACTTATAGATGCATTATTCTTGCTGACAGATCAAACTGTATTAGAAATTCCATTTATCTTTTTGAGAGGTTTCAGAGTAGCAGCCGTGTTAGTCTGTATTCGTAAAAAGAAAAGGAGTACTTGTGGCACTAAGCGCTTTAGTCAGCTTCAAATAAAGGGAGGGGACCATCAGGTCAGGCAGACTGGAGTACTAGTTTAAGTACTATTTTGATGGCTGTTAGATGTCCAGGGCAGGTAGCAGCTGTAGCAAGAGTGCTTTTTCCCCCCTGCATGTGGCAAGACAAGTGAGATCTTTTCTCCCTGAGGTAGCCTTTGCCTTAACTGTCCATGTCTTTGTCACTTCTCTACTAGGTTATGTCTACACTAGCAGTTATGTCGGCAAAACTTTTGTCGCTCAGGGATGTGAAAAAAAGACTTCCCTGCGCAACGTAAGTTTTGCTGGCATGAGCTCTAGTTTGCATAGTGCTCTGTTGTTGGGAGACACTCTCCAGCCAACATAGCTACTGCCGCTCGTTAAGCTGGCTTTATGTTGACGGGAGAGCTCTCTCCCATTGGCATAACGCAGCTACACAAGTGCTCTTACAGCACCAGCACAGTTGCAATGGTACAGCTGTGCCCTTGTAAGTGTAGACATGGCCTTAAATTGCTGTAATATGTTCTACCTGGGCTACACTTTGGAACCATTCAGAATTCTTCAGGCTGCTTCTTAAGAGTAATAATAATACCTAGCTCTTATAAAGTACTGTACTTTTCATTAGTAGATCTCAAAGTACTTTACAAAGGAAGTAAATATCACTAGCCCCATTTTACAGATGAAGAAACTGAGGCATACAGAGCATTGAAGTGACTTGTCTGAGGTCACCCAGTAGGCCAATGGCATAGTCAGGAATAGCACCCAGATCTCTTGACTGCCAGTCCAGTGCTCTAACTAGTAGGCTATGCTGTGAAGTTGCCTGTTGGGAGCATATTAAACCAATGCTCTGTCATCTGTATCAGCTCCCAGTAAGTTTCTGCATGGAATCCAGGGTGTTGGTCTCTGCCCAAAATATGCTGTCACTGTTGAGATTAGCAGAGACACTTAAGAAGCAACTCCTTCAATATAAACGAGAGGGAACTGCTGGCAGGACATTCTCCAGGAGTGGTCCTCAGTTTTGGAACTCGCTCCCCTACTTGCTCTGCCATGGAAAAGAAGCCCTTGAGGAATTCCACCATGATTTCAACAATTTCCATCCCACCATCAACCTTAGCCTGGACCAGTCCACACAAGAGATCCACTTCCTGGGCACTACAGTGCTAATAAGCGATGGTCACATAAACACCACCCTATACCAGAAACCTACTGACCGCTATGCCTACCTGCATGCCTCCAGCTTTCATCCAGACCACACCACACGATCCATTGTCTACAGCCAAGCTCTGCGATACAACTGCATTTGCTCCAACCCCTCAGACAAACACCTACAAGATCTCTCTCAAGCGTTCTTACAACTACAATACCCACCTGCTGAAGTGAAGAAATAGATTGACAGAGCCAGAAGAGTACCCAGAAGTCACCTTCTATGGGACAGGCCCAACAAAGAAAGTAACAGAATGCCACTAGCCATCACCTTCAGCCCCAAACTAAAACCTCTCCAACGCATCATCAGGGATCTACAACCTATCCTGAAGGACGACCCATAACTCTCACAGATCTTGGGAGACAGGCAAATCCTTGCTTACAGACAGCCCCCCAACCTGAAGCAAATACTCCCCAGCAACCACACAACAGAGCCACTACCCCAGGAACCTATCCTTGCAGCAAAGCCCACTGCCAACTGTGTCCACATATCTATTCAGGGGACACCATCATAGGGCCTAATCACATCAGCCACACGATCAGAGGCTCGTTCACCTGCACATCTACCAATGTGATATATGCCATCATGTGCCAGCAATGCCCCTCTGCCATGTACATTGGCCAAACTGGACAGTCTCTACGTAAAAGAATCACTGGACACAAATCAGACGTCAAGAATTATAACATTCAAAAACCAGTCAGAGAACACTTCAATCTCTTTGATCACTCGATTACAGACCTAAAAGTGGCAATTCTTCAACAAAAAAACTTCAAAAACAGACTCCAACGAGAGACTGCTGAATTGGAATTAATTTGCAAACTGGATACAATTAACTTAGGCTTGAATAAAGACTGGGAGTGGATGGGTCATTACACAAAGTAAAACTATTTCTCCATGTTTATTCCCCCCCCCCGCCCCCGCAACTGTTCCTCAGACGTTCTTGTCAACTTCTGGAAATGGCCCACCTTGATTATCACTACAAAAGGTTTCTTCCTCCCCTCTCTCCTGCTGATAATAGCTCACCTTACCTGATCACTCTCGTTACAGTGTGTATAGTGACACCCATTGTTTCATGTTCTCTGTGTATATAAATCTCCCCCCTGTATTTTCCACTGAATGCATCTGATGAAGTGAGCTGTAGCTCACGAAAGCTTATGCTCAAATAATTTTGTTAGTCTCTAAGGTGCCACAAGTCCTCTTTTTCTTTTTGCGGATACAGACTAAGACAGCTGCTACTCTGAAACTTTGTCTATGTTGTCATTTTTAATGTATGAGATAGGTGTCCACAGCACTGTATGGACATCTATAATTAATTTTATTTATTCATATTTTTAAAACACATGTAGAAATCAGATGATTACTGTTCCCCCCCCTTGGTGCAGACAGAATGTGGCTCTTTAGAGGAGGCAATGTCTTGATTGAAGTAGTATAGGGAATGTCAAGCATCCCCTGGATTGATGCACAGAAGTACTCAAGACAAAATCTTGATGCATCCTGCTGACAGGTATCAGTATCAGGTGTGCAGGGTGTGTCACAGGGGTGGAAGAGGTGGTACGGGGCCTGTCCTTTTGCTACATGGGTGACAAAGTCACAGACAGCTATAAGATTTCTTGTTCCCCAGTGTGCCTTCCCTACACCGTGGAGCACTTTAAGTTGGCTATATGTTGGATTTATCAGCAGGTACAGGGTAGGTCTGGGGCACTTTCACACGCTCTTTCTGAGGCGTAATGCAGGCAGACCTCATGGTGTCTCGGTCCTTGCACAGAAAGATATGAAGTTCTTTATGCCTGTACAGCACAGGCTGAATACAGTGTGAGTGCTTTCTCTTTGCTGCCTTGTTTTTAAATTCAAGTATGTTTTATTGTTTAAAGTGTTTATAATATTTCTAAGATAATTTCCCTAAACATTTTCTAATTCTTTTAAAAGTAAAACCTCCATTGTATATTGGATTGCTCTCTCTTTTCTCTTTCAAGAGACATCCTATCCACCCTTGATTGTCTATGAGCAGGGAATGTACCTGTAAGTGAAGCTACAGTGAGTTGTTCTGTATTTTTGCTTCCAGAATCTCAAGTCTCCCAAAAGCAGTCCTGTCAGTGACTTTAAATTCACCACCCAGAACCCAGTACTCCAAGTACATGGCGATGTGGAAAAGGAAAGAATACTTTTAAGTATTGATGATGTAAAGGTGTGGTATGGCCTTTTATGTTTTGCCAAACTTTATAAATAATCTGATAATAGAACAATTTTTATCAAAAGCTTTGCAGGGTGATTGGAACTGAAACCATTTCCTTTTCAGGAAGGTGAGAGTCCCAGGCTTTCTTCATAGCTTCAGGCCATCCCCTGTCCCCATGCGTACACATACATGTACACACACATGCCCTTCAACCAAATTCTCTAGCCTGAAATCTCTGCCTCTCCCCCCTCCTATGTCCCTGTTCCCTCTGGGCCTTTGACTCCTCTGTCGTACTTCCCTACTCTGTTCCCCTGGTGCACCATGCAGCAGCTCACTCAGTCCCATATTCACCCCGACATTGTACTGTCCTTGCCTGCCCCAATGGTGCCCCGGAGCCCAATTTCACCACCAGAGCCTAACTCATGCCTCCTGCAGCCCAGCTTTCCTGATTCACCAGGGATATTCATAGATTTATATTTTAAGGCCAGAAGGGAACCATTAGATCTCTACTCTAACCTCCTACATAACATAGGCCAGAGAATTAAATCCAGTTACCAAAAAAAAAAAAGAAAAAAAAGCTTGTAATGATGTAATTAGAGACTGTACCACAATGCATTCCTAACTGGCATTTCCTAACTTCTGACTGCTTGACTTTGCAACCTGAGTGTTCTTTTAATGTTTATAGTTTTTTTGTGTGTAATTTCCTAAATTTATAAAAAAAGTAAGCTGAAGAAAACAGGATTTCCATCATGTGGAACCCCATATTGACTCCTACATGATTCATCAGCAGAGTTAAAAGTTTTACATCTACAGCATGGACTGCTGCCACTTGAGCTAACAAAGTCACTGCTAGCAGTAGTAAATTGTCATTCTCTATATTGTGAGGAAGGTGAAGCACAATGTCGAAGAACAACTACCTCCAGGGCATGCCCTCACGTGGTCCTGCAGTGTTCCAATGCCTCAATTTTCCCTTTCCAGGAACTTGCCATTCCACTTTTTACAGGGGATCACCTACTCCACCATATGTGATAAGACGCACCATCCTGTGGTAGGCTGTGAAATGACTGCTGCATCTGCCTCAGTTTGCCCTTTCTTCCAGCATCCCAGTAACTCCATGCAGGCTTTCAGAGAATAAATAGCCCTTTACAGGGTTAATTTATTGCAGAAGTTCCAAAAATCATAATCCAGATTTTCCCAGCACAGTCAATCTTTCAAATTCCACCAGTCAACATATCAACTACAGTTCCAGTGTCTCTCACCATGCCCCAGCACTTCAGCATGGCTCTGGCATTTCTTACCTCACCCCAGCACCTCTAGCTAGGGAACTTCTCCACCCTGTTTCTAGCTTCTGCCTGGAGACATCAGTGGGCTCACCCTTTAATCATTCCCCAGCCTTCATCCCTCTGGCTTCAGCTCTGCAGCTTAGAGAGCCGGCAGGCATCTGCCTTTGTGGCTGTCGGCCTTCAGCTCTCTCTGGGCATGGCTCTCTGGCCTGGGAAAGTTTGTAAGTGACCCTCCCGCAGCTGTCTTCCCACCTCCACCAACATGACCTGGATCCATTGCTCAATAAGAAAATGCTCCCTGCTCCCTCCTTCAGGGGCATCTCCTTCCTGAAGTTTTCAACACAGCTCTGCTCTTCTTCTGAGCTTTCTCCGGACTCTGAATTCTTCTAGTTTGGGTTCTGAATGCTCTCATGTCTTTGGGTTGTCTTATTTATAACTTTCAGGGCAGCTCTCCCTCCTAATTACATCAAACTAGGGCACCTGTACTTGGACGGGGGACCTGGGCCTAATTTCATTTACAGGGCCAGCTACCCTGTTACACATACATTTTATTAGTGGATTTCACAGTTGCTGGCAATGTTATCAGAGGCATGTTGACATTAGAGGAATCCTGGGTTCTATTCCAGGTTCTGAGGGAAAGTTATAGACCATTCTGCCCCTGTTTTCCTCAAAGCCTGATCCCTTTTGCCCCACTGATCCCTCCAACCTGTCTCAGTCCATCTCCACCTCAGCTTCTTGTCCCAGTTCCTTCTCTCTTTTTTGGGTCTTCATTCCAGTGTGGCTGCTTCCTCTTTCTCCTCCTCACTGCCTGGGCACCAGCAGTGGGAACATTGAGAGCACCAGTAGAGACAGTATTTCTGCACTTAGTTCTTGTGTCTGGCATCCTAGTTGTTCTTGGCATCCAAGAGTAGCAATTGCAGGGCAAGTCCAGCTCAACCGTGGCTATCCTGGGATGATGCATGCTCAGTACAAATAAAATCTTGGGAGACGTTAGCTTCCAAATTCTAACAAGACTCTGTTGAACTTGTGTGCATTAAGATCTTCAGAGACTTATACACTGGCCAAATTAGGGAGAATTTTCATAGGGACAGCAAAAAGCTGACACCAGGGCAACGCTCTGCCAAATTTAACTCCTTGCTCCAAAGAATGGAAGCATTAGAGTTTCTCATTTAAACAGCTTTAAAAAAATGTTATGTGGGCAAAGCAACATATTTTTCCTTAACCTCTTTTTGGGAAATGGCTGAACTTTTTTGCTGAAATCTTCCAAAAAATTCAGCCCGAGCTTGTTACACAGCATGGAAAACTTCAGCCTGAATGGTCACAGTTTGTCAAAGTAAAAAGCATCTGAAAACTAAGTCTTATAATAGAAAGTATTATTAATAATACAGAAATGCCAGTTTTCAATGCACAAGGATATAGTCTGTGTTTTTTTTTCACAGGGTTGCTGTCTCATTCAGGTCCCAATCATATACCACTAAAGTCAATGGGAGTAAAGGGAGCAGAACTGAGCCCTTATTGCATAGCAGAGGCAATGAGTTGGCTGGGTGGGGGGCATGTGGGGTCATGTGCCCACCCAGATTTGCCGCTTGGCTTGTACTGAACATACTCACAGAGACTGAGCATGCTCAGTAACACTACTGAAGCTGGCTTCCCTCACTCTGATGGATGGCGCTTATTGAATGCGGCAGCTGTTCAGCATTGCCTTTTAACCTCATTATTCATTATATGGCACCAGGATTTATTTACTGCACACCGTCCAAACCCTGCACTGAATAGGGAATTACTTATTTCCTCACAACTTTTCTGCTATGCTGCTCACCATGATATCTGAGTCTCACAGACTTTAAAGAATTAGTATTCACAGCACCCTGGAAAGAATTATTAATCTCATTTTACAAATGGGGATCTGAGATATAAAGAGATTTTGGCCAACATTTATAAAAGGGTGCATGAATTTTGAGTGCCTCAGTTATTGGATACTCAGCTTGGGATACTTAGGGCTAGATTTACAAGGGAGATTTAAGCTAGCAGCTAAGCGCCTAAGTGCAGTGTTTAGGCACCACTGACATTCACAGAACCATAGTTCAGCTGCCATGTAATCTGTTGGTGCCTAAAGTCTATAGGTGTCTAATTTTTCCTCTGGTAAAGTCCCCCTGGCAACTAAATTTCTGCCTCTGGGCCTGCACACAGCCTCCTGAAACCCAACACTGCCGAGCAGCTTGGCACTTAACTCCTGCCTAAACCCCAGCAACATTCACAAGCTAGACATTCCCCTGCCTGTCTCGCCTGATCTGGTAGATATGCTCAGAAGCTGCCTAAGAACATGCGTACCAAATCTTGCCCCTCACAAAAAGCCAGCTGAGGCGGTATCCCCAATAGCCGATGGTTGGAGCACACCCTTAGGATGTGGGAGACCTGGTTTCAAATCCCTGCTCTGCTTCCTAGCTAAATCCCCCTTCCTAGCTGAGTGCCCTAAGATAGAGGGTATTCTGGGGTGCGGCTCTCTCATTCTCTCCTGTTCAAGTTGTTCCACTTTGTGTAAAATATTTTAATATTCAGGAGATCAGAGAGAGTGTGACTGGATAGCCTAGTGATTAGCACACTCCCATAGCAGACTTGCGTTCCAGCCCCTGCTCCAGTGAATAGTTCAGTGTTTCATCCAAAGTCGAACCATTTCAACAGGTGAGATTAAAAAAGACAGCCCCCACCCCCACCCCAGAATATCCCATAGCCCAGTGGTTAGAAGATTCAATTGGGAGACCTAGGTTCAAGTCCTTGCTCTGAATCAGGCAGAATGGGGACTTAACCTGGATCTCCTACTTCCTGGGTGAGTGCTCTAATGACTGCACTCTTGGGTATAAAGGAGGGTGGCACCTTCTCTTCATTTTTAACTTGAGAAAGGGTTGTTCCGGTTTAGGTCCCTAACTCCAGGAGAGGGTTCAAAGTTGTGAATTCTGAGCATACTCCAGCCCAGAGTTAGGCATCTCTAATGGGTTGCCCCCTTTCAAGGCGCCGTCTGATGTGCTGAGATACCACTGAGCCCACCTGTTCTGTCAATATGGGCCCCCTTTAACTTGTCTTGCTGAGCCAGGCTCTTAAACCCCCTCTAGCACACACACAGGCAGGGTTACACCCAGCTGCAGAAAGACACGGACACTGAGATCAGCTCTGGAAAGACTCAGTTTAAGGGACTTGCTCCAGTAGTCAGGTGCCCACCTCCCTTAGAGTGCAGACCCAAAGGCATATTGTCTTGTGATGTATAGAATAATCTGCACAGTGCAATCTCATAAAAATTCACCCTCTTCCTCAATGTGAAGAGAGATATGCACCCTGTCTTCCCCCCCCAGTTACAAATTGCACAAACTGGGTTTGATAATAAACAAAACAAATTTATTAACTATAAAAGGCAGATTTTAAGTGATTATAAGAGAGAGCAAACAGAACAAAGCAGATTACTAAGCAAATAAAACAAAGCACGCAAACGAAGCTTGATTCACAAAAAAAATTGGTTACAAAATGTAATTTCTCACCCTAAATGTTGAATTAGACTGGATGCAGCGCTTCTGTAACTCAGAGTTCCAGTTATTTCTTCTTACAGACTGGTCCCCTGTCCCAGTCTGGACTCAACCCTGCCTTTCCCTTCAGGTTAGTTTCTTTGTCCCTTTAGGTTCTTTCATCAGTCCTTCTTCTTGGGTAGGCAATGGAGGAGAGTCTGGAATGCCTTCCCTCCCAGCCTTAAATAGAATTTACATAAGGCAGGAAGCCTTTTGTTTCCCAAACTTGACCTCCCCATCCTGTGAGTGGAAAATTACTAGAAGTCCAAGAGCGTGTTTAGTACCAGGTGGCAGGACCTCCTGACCAATTAGTGTCACAGCTACATCCCAGGATGACTCTTAGGAAGGAGAGAGATTAGTATCTTCACAGTCTTGTTGTTTCTTCCTAATGGGCCATTGGCCCTGTCTGGCTTTTCACTGTTGTATCTGAAGGGCTAGTTATGGGTGTCACCCAAAGTAGCACATTTGAAATACAGCTACATGGTCAATATTCCTAACTTCAGATACAGAAATGATACAGGCATACAGATTGGATAATCACATTCAGTAAATCATAACCTCTCCAATTCTATCTTACATGAGCCATCGTGCATAAAGTGTATCTCAGTTATGCCATATCCATATCATAAGCATATTTCCATAAGAATATGGAGTGTAACATCACAGCATCAAGCTTCCTTTCAGGGGTAGGGCTTAGGCTTCAGCTTTCTCCTTGGCATTTCCTACTGGCTAGCTTAAGTGGCTTCCTGCTCTACGCTCTGGCTTCTGTGAATCCCTTTTTTGGTACCCAACTATCTCCATGCATTGTATGAAGAGTCCAGGCATCCAGCTCGGGGTTGTGAATTCCACTTATTGGCAGGGTGCTTAGCTCTGCTTTTGAATCTAGGGCCTAAGGCTAAACATGCACAACTCCTGTGGGATTCAGCTACAATTCTGAATGATCAGCACTTCAGAAAATCATTCCCTATCTAGCTAAAGTTGATTTCCCAGTAAATGAGGAACACACAGTTATCAGCCACCTCTGAAAATACTGATTTTAAGTAACTTATCCAAAATCCTATTAAAAGTCTTTAGCAGAGCCACGACTAGAACCCAGTTCTCCTTGGACTTAGTCCAGCACCTTGTCAAGAAAACCATCTTTTGTCTTCCTTGAGTCCCCTGTTTCCCCATGATGAACTTTTGGAGTAAATGAGCTTGGGTGCTACAGCCATCAATCTTGGTTACTATTCAGACCTGTCTTACTCACTGCCCCTCTTTTGTATGTAATTTTATAGATTTTAAAAAAAAAAAGGACTTCTGTCATGTGTAACTTTAATAATATTCACCTGGGTTGTTAGTAGGATTTGAACCTGGGACCTTCAGATCCCCACCATAGATACCATAACGTGAGCCAAAGCTGTCAGCCGTAGTAGGCTGTTATTGTCTATGGACCAGCTACTGCTAGAATCGGTCGTGTATTGCACTGAAACAGTGGGTTACGCATGCAGGAGTAGCCCCATTCTATAAAAGCAGAATCAAGCAATACATTTGGCATATTCTTTCTGAGAGGAAATATGGCTAAATTGAAGAAACTTAGGTTCCGTTCTGAGCTATGCCAGATGTGATCTTGTACAACATTTCAGGCATATTAAAACAAACCAACAAAAAACCCTTGGCCATTGGCATATTTTATACAATCCCTGTTCCAGTGCTCATTGAGCTTTTATTCTGGGACATCCATTGTTTTCTTCAACCGCCATGGGTACCAGGATGGATCCCCAACATGCCAACCTCTTTATGGGCTACCTCAGGGAAGAATTTCTGGATAAATGCAACATAAAACCAACTATATACCTGAAATACATCAATTATATTTTCATCCAATACATTTCCCTGTTCTGTTCACTCTCTCTGAAACATCTGGCCTTGGCTGCTGTCAGAAGACAGGATATTGGGCTAGATGGACCATTGGTTTGACCTCATATGACCATCCCTACGTTCTTATCCTTCAGACAGACAACCTAAACAATGATTTCCACAACAACATCAACAACTACCATCCATCAAACTTTGTAGAGAACTCCCACACCAGCATCAACTTCCTGTACAGCACGATCAGTGTCAACAATGGAACCCTACAGACAACTATATACAAGAAAGCAACAGATCACCACACTTACTTCCACTGATCCAGCAACCACTCCAGAACACCAACACCAAGAAATATGTTATATACAGCCAGGCACTTAGATACCATAGAATATGCTCTGAAGAGAAAGTCGAGAATGTACACCTTAACACACTTAAAACCACTTTAATTAAACAAGAATGCTTCACTAGAGAAGTAGATAGCCTCCCCAAGAATTTATGGCTCTTGCAGAGAAGGGGAGGCAAAAAGATTAGGAGAATGGAAAGAAAAGAAGATCCACCCCTCTGTATTTTAAAAAGCAAGGAAACACACAATACTTCAAAAATGCTAAAGAATTAAAATAACTTTTGGCTGACTACCAGTAGCTCAGAGTCTTAATATGACAATAACAACAAGGAGTCCGGTGGCACCTTAAAGACTAACAGATTTATCTGAAGAAGTGGGTTTTTTACCCATGAAAGCTTACGCCCAAATAAATCTGTTAGTCTTTAAGGTGCCACCGGACTCCTCGTTGTTTTTGTGGATACAGACTAACACGGCTACCTCTCTGAATATGACAATGACATTTCCATTTTTGTAAAAATAAATAGGAGTTCATTATACCATACATCTCTCAGAAAGATACTAGTAATATATTAGACAGACAAGGTAGGTGATGTAATAATATCTTTTATTGAACCAACTTCTGTTGGTGAAAGAGACAAGCTTGCGACCTTACACAGAGCTCTTCTTCAGGTCCTCAGAGTATCATAGCTAAATTACAAGGGTGGAACAGATAAGTAGTTAACATGTTTTGCAAGAGAGCATTCAAAGTGAAAGGGGAAATTAATACTTCTACAGCTGTAGGACAAAGGAGTATTAGTGAGTTACAGATTGTTGTAATGGGCCATAGTAATATATAGTAATATATTATAGTTCACAATATTATTGTAATAAACAGGTTTGTTTGTAATAACTGGTGAAGGCTTCTAAAGGGGATTATTGCCATATTGAAAGCCACAACTGTGAGAAATAAACATTTATCCCTGTGAAACACTGGCAACAGAGGGCTGAGTTAAGGTTGTCTAGGTGTGACCTTGTGGAGTAGGGCTGATTTGCCAAGGGAAAGTGTTTGTGAGCAGCTTTGTGTATATGGGAGAAGGTAAGGTGTGTAGCAGTATATTGTTTCCTGGCTTTTGTAGATTTAAATTTTGCATTGCTGTCCCTCAGCAACTTTTAATGTAATTTATTTTTTTAAATGTAGTCTATTTACTCAGTTTCATAGCTTTCCCTGAAATACTACACTTCCATGCTCTTGCTTGCGAAGGCCCAAAATGTTTTCAGCTGCCTTCCAGCTGTGTGTATTTATAAAAAGTGTTTGTGTTTTTCCCTTCTTGGGGGTGGGAGGAGCAGCAGTTTAACTGGTTTTATTTTGAAAGACATATGTGAGATTTTGCTGACAAATCTGTCTGGATTGTACCAGGAATTGAGAAGAAGTTTGGAACTCAGTGTAAGTCAGAAAAGGATGGAGAAGGAAAGTTCTAGTGATGACTATGACTCTGTTGAGGAGGATGTGCTTTTGGAGCACTCTCAGGTGGAAGAGACAGTTGCAAGTTTTGGAAGCCTCCAGTTGCCCAGTGGCGAGTCATTACTGAAGGATGTTCCCAAGTATCAGGAGGCTGGAAGATGCTGTGACCTCGATGCTGGTGCTCTCGTGCTGGAATTTAAGCAGAATCCAACAAGTAAGTCTTTGTGTCCTGTACCAGTTCAGCTGCAGCGTTGCAGTAGTAATTCTAGTTTTTATTTATAGAGTTTGTGGCTAAAAGGGAACCTTATGTCATCTAATCTGACCTCTTATACACCACAGGCCATTATGTTTCATGCAGGTATCCCTGCATTTAGGCCAGTAATATGTGTTTGATTATAGCATATCTTCCAAAAAGGATTCCAATCTTTCTGAAGAATTCAAGAGATGGAGAATCTACCACTTCCCTTGGTAGTTTGTTCCAATGTTTAATCACCCTCGCTGTGAAATATTGGTGCCATGTTTCCCGTTTGAATTTGTCTGGTTTCAGCTTCCAGCCATTGGTTCTTGTTCTGCCTTTCTCCGCTAGATTAAAGAGCCCTTTTGGTACCTGGTGTTTTTTCCCCATGTAATCAAGCCATCTCTCAGTCTTCTTTTTGATAAACTGAACAGATTGAGCTCTTTACATCTTTCACTGCAAGGCATTTTCACCAGCCCTTGAATAATTTTGTGGCTCTTTTCTGCACCCTCTCCAGTTTTTCAATATCCTGTTTAAATGTAGACACTAGAACTGTATGCAGTATTCCAGTGCTGGTCTCACTAATTGTAATAGGCCTAGATCACATCCTCTAGTCATCAGTGCACTGGCTAGTCATACCATCTAGTGGGTTCAAGTCCTGGTTTGGCAGTAGTGCCTGGTGGGTTCAAGTCTGAGGTTGCTAGTAGCACCTAGTGGGTTCAAACCTGGGGGTTGATGGTAGTGCCTAGTTGGTTTGAGCCCGGGGGTTGGAGGTAGGGGAACCCAGGCCCTCTCACTCCTCCGGTTCCAACCAGGGCCCTGGGGCAGGCAGTTCAGGTGTGCAATGTGGGTCAGGGTATCGCCCAGCCTTTTCCCTGGGTTACTTCCTATTGCGGGGTTGACAACCTGCAGCACATGTGGAAAAGGCGGCATGCGAGCCAATTTTTACTGCCACGCTGCTGCCAGCCAGGGTCCCAGCTGCTGGCTCCACTCAGCCTGCTGCCTGCCTGGGTGAACGGAACCCCAGGCCAGCAGCGGGCTGAGCGGGGCCAGCAGCCGGGACCCCGGCTGGCAGGAGCTGGCAGCCGGAACCTCAGACCACTGGCCACACTCAGCCCGCTGCCAGTCTGGGGTTCTGTCAGGGGCCACTGTAAATGTAAAATTTATTACTGTCACGCGAAACCTTAAATTAATGAAGACTTGGCAGACCACTTCTCAATGGTTGCCGACCCCTGTCCTATTGCATCCCTGCCTCTCCAGAGGCACAGCGAAGGCCTGACTAATGACCTGCAACATGTACCCCCAGAAGAGGAGCAGGAGGTTCCCTTCCCCACTCACAAGCAGATGCTTTGCTGTCTCTTCTGCAGTGGTTTACGGCTCTGAGTCTTTTCAGGGCTGTGTGGAGTTCCTTTTGGATTCCTGCATGAGCTACCAGTGGAAGTCAGCTCCCTTGCACTGACCGCCCTGATTGAGCTGTGCTGTGCCCTTGTAAGCTCTGTCTTAATTGACAGCATGTCCAGAAGGCTCTGCTGGGTAGAGCCTCCTGCGACTAGAGCTACTCCTTAATTCCCTTTTCCCCAGTGTGGGGTTTGTACCCCATCATACCAACACAGAGTGAAGTTACCTCTCTACTTCCCTCCTTATCCATCCAAGAATCTCATTATCCTTTTTTGCCACAGCATCACACTGGGAGCTCATGTTTAGTTGCTTGTCCACTGTGACCCTTACCTCCTTTTAACAGTCACTATTTTCCAGGATAGTCTCCCATTCTGTAAGTATAGCCTGCATTCCTTGTTCCTAGATGTATAACTTTCCATTTGGCTGTATTAAAACACATGTTTTTTATCCAGGTTACCAAGTGAATCCAGATCACTCTCTATGAATCCCCTGTCCTCATTATTTACTGTTCCACCTATCTTTGTTTCATCTGCAAATTTGATCAGCCATGATTTTACATTTGATTCTGGATCATTAATGTAAATTGTTGAATAGCATTGGGCCTAGAACTGATCCCTGTGGAACGCCACTAGAAACACCCCGTTCAATGATGATTACTTGTTGAGACCTATCCATTACACAGTTCTTCATCCATTTAACATGAGTGTTGTTGCTATTGGACATGGCTAATTTTTAAGCAGAATATCATGTGATATCAATTCAAATGTCTTACAAAAGTCTAAGTCTATTATATCTGCCCTGTTACCTTTATCAACCAATCTTGTAATCTCATCAAAGAATGAAATGAGGTTTGTTTTATAAGATCTATTTTCCATGAAACCATGTTGGCATTAACTATATTCCTGTCCTTTAATTCTTTATTATTTGAATCCTATATCAGCTTTTCTATTAATTTGCCCAGTAATTATGTCTTTGACAGCCTCTGTTCATTCCCACTTGTGGCATATGGTGCCCCGGCGTCAAGCTGTGGAACTGCCTTTAAAAGCCATGTCTGTTTGTAGGGTGCACAAGTGGTCTCACACAAGGGGAATGTCATCTCCCTACACTATATAAAGGAGTGAGTCCCCTGGCTGCCTCAGTTCCTTTGCTGCTTCAGCAGAGAACTAACAGAACTCACTTCATGTCCTTGAATTGCTCCATTGTAGTCTAATTCTCTTCTTGTATATAGTTAGTTAAATTAGTCTTTAGTGTAGTGTAGCTTTTAGCACAGTATAAGTAGCTACCCTCTTTGGGTAATGGCAGGAGCCATGTTGGGTCCTGAGCCATATAGGGCATTTAAGAAGTGTGGTCCTGCCCTGCAATGATTCCTGAGATGGACGCTTATTTCAGATGTGTCTGTCGTTCTAATTTTGATTGACTGAATGGGCTCAAAGAGTCAATGGTGTTAATCATGACCCTGTTGCTATTCCACATTAAACAGTTAAACATGGGTCAGGGTTTCTAGAATAGAGACTGTAGCCTGCCTAGACCATTAAGTATCTTTATAGCCCTTTTTTTAAAGATACAGAAAAAAAGGGGAAAAAAACTGTTGAAGCATTTGAAATGTAAAGTGTTAAGTAAGGATTTCATTTTAACAATATCCCTTATTACCTTTCCCTTTAGCTGTTGAGAGTTTTTATAGGAAAAATCCCATCTGATGGTCTTTAAGGTAGTATTAAATATGGTAATTGTTCTTTCTGGGGACAAGAAAACTAATTTGTTGAGGTCAGCTGGAGCTGTGGTTGTTGCTGAAGTCATATTCTGCTTTCCCTAAGGCTAAACGAAGCAAACACCCTCAAAAGGGAGAGAAAAGAACAGCAAAGATAGAAAATGCAGCTTTGGTCTCTCGTGCTGACTTTCACTTGCAACCTTGCTGCTGGAGAAACACAGACACAGCATGTGATCTGATCAGCCACACTGAGACCTGGCAAACTAGCACTGGGCTTTGTGTCTCCTGTCTGCCACTCAATGGATACAGCTTTTAAAGGGCAGTTCTGCAGCTCAGTGCCAGGGTCACCATATCCCACAAGTGGAAATACATAGAGGCAACTCTTGATCAACAGCTACTAGTAAGTGACCTCTCTTTTCTATGAGTTGGATCTTCAACTCTAAACCTCTGTTATCAATCATTTAAACTTTAAAAGTTTGAGGACAAAATTTACTATTTGAACACTTTCCATTTTTCAAAAGTTCCATTTTTTTTTTTTAGAATGATGACCAATAAGGACATAGATTCTTGGCTGCAATTTCTCTTTCACTATTGCCCTTGCAGGCAGGGTCACATCTCTCTCTTGCCTTGTGCTTGAGGCTGAAGTGTCATTTTGACTGCCCAACAGTCTTGTTCTTCAAAAGCAGAAAGACTGATGTTCCTGAAAGATCCAAAAAAGAAACGTGGGAATATCTTTGCTGCAATGTCCATGTGCAGCCCCCTTTTGTGGGCTCAGAAGCTGCCATGAGTAGAGATGGGGGGAGAGAGAAAGGTGAAGGGGAGGTCACTGTCTCTCATTCTTATAACCCTCTCCCCTCTTTAAGGATTACCCCAAGCTGGGGTGCAGGCGGCAAGCATCTCTTGTGGATGTGAGGTTTGAACCATCCCTGTGATGAAATGTAAATTTCTTAGTCACATCTTCCCCCTGACGGAGAATGGCCACTTAAGCAGGTGATAGTCTTTTAACATCTGGCTGGGTGTTGGCCTGTCCTTTATTCCGGAGAAACTGGTTTAGACCTGCTTTTCTTAACATTGGAGCATGTTATAACAGTGTTATACAGTAGACTCTTGTAACTTTACATACCATACTCATACACACATTTTACCAGGACAATAATGTTCAGCAGATTATGAGCTTTCAACTGATACCTCACAAGGCATACTTTGTACAAAATTTATCATAGTCTTGTAAAAGTGATGAACATAATAGTATAGATCATCACATCTTCCCTTGTAATCCAAAATTTGTGTCTAAATCCTAATCTACATTTAACAAGTTTTATTGGCATAACTATGTTGGCAATGTATATATTTTATTTACAGATATATTATGCTGGTAAAAGCTTTAGTGTAGATAGAGTTATACAGGTATAAGGCACTTCATACTGGTATAGCTTATTTAGCTTCATTGTACTGGAATAAGCTATATGTAAGCACTTCTGTAACAGTAACTTCTGTAACTTTGCCAGCATAGTTAAAGCAGCAAAACTCTTATTTGTAGACAAGTCCTAATAAGTCTTCACTGATTTGCTGCTCCTAAATCCAGTTGAACTTCACTTGACTTATGTGTTTAGTGTGTGGGAGCTGGGTGATGATGGTGGCCTGTGATGTACAGAAAGTCAGGCTGGATGATCTGGTGGTCCCTTCTAGCCTTAAACTCTGTGACTCTAGTTCTCTTACTCTTCTCACTTGTTTTTCTGCAGATATGAAACAGGAACGAATTCTGTCTGCAAAGAGGAAAGATGCTGCTGAAACCTACATTCCAATCAGACCTATGAAGGTCAGAAGTAAAATGGCTCGTCCACTTTCTGCTGGACCCCTGCACCAGGAGGGACATGAAAGAACCTGCTCCCGTAAGAGAGATGAGAATATGTAAAGTATACAATTGTGAGCTTCCATTCTCCTTCCCCTGCCCTGGCTTAGATGTTGTCTCTGCTGCACACTTCTATCCTCGCTCTCCTGGGCTGTTGCCCATTTTTATGCTTCCTCTCATCTCAAAATTCCATTGACTTCAGTGGGAGCAGGAGCAAGCCCATGGCTATATATGCTATCTCTCCGCCTCCTCATTCTTCTTTCCCTGCCCCCACAGAATGAAGACTTCTTCCCCTCTTTTTCCATCCTCCCTACTGCTCTATACTTGCCCCTTTTTCTTTACACAGACATATTCCCTATGGTGAAAGGGTGCTGACAGGAAGGCAACCTCTGCATGTCAACTACTGGATCTTCAGAGGAACTGTCAAAAGATGGTAGCTCTCTGTAATCCAGCCACTCCCCTTAAGCATCAGTTACAAAAAGATGGGTTTTTTGGGGGTGTGGCGGATATCTGACATAAACCCAGTTACTCAAATGAATGGAAGAGGGTCAGATCACCTTATTACTGTAATAAAACTTCTCAAGCTAAGCACAGCTTCCAAATGAATCCTGAGAGCCAGTAAAGTTAACAGTATTGAAAAGCCCAAACTGTGTCTCCTTAATTAATACAAAACCTAAACAAAACCAAGAAATTATGTTCCTTCTTAAACAAAAGAGAAACTCAAACTCCCCCTGTCACCTGGATGCCAGCATCAGCTAATGTTTGTAGTAATACCTTCTGGATCAGATCCTTGCGTTGACCAGTTTTTGAAAGATGTGTGTTGCACTTCCTTCAAACACTTTTAAAACAGTGTATTATATGCATATATCAATTCTGTGTGAGCAAGACAACCAAGGGAAGGTTTAGGAAAAAACAACAGCAGCTAAATAGTCTTGAGCTAACAGTGGTCACCTTGGGAAGACCTCTGGGGAACCCAACACAAAAAGAGCAACCATCCAGCATGTGTACAGCATCTTTCACAGCACCATAGATACACAGGCATAGTCAGTCTTGGGGCAGTGAACCATGCCACATCTAAACTCAATAATCTGTCTCCAGAGGTGGCGTGGGAAGCCCAAAGCCAGGGAGTCGCTGGTAGTAGCAGAGGCTTTTTCCCATCCTGTCCACCACAGTAAGCTGATGATGTTATCAGCTTGATGGAAAGTATGCTGCACTGCTATGTAATTGGTGGTGCAGTGCATCCCATATATCCCTGAACAGTGGCAAGTGTGTCATTTTCTGTAGCTTTGGGGGCAGTTTATTGGTGCATTCTGACACCAGATGTTAGGCGGAGGAATATGAGGTAGGACTGGTAATCACACAAGTTTTGCTGGCTTCAATGTCCCTGTTATCACTCTTATAGTATGATTAAGCTGTGTTTTAAAAACAGTAGGCCAGAAAGTTGTCTGGGCTTTTTGAGGGCTGTAGAGGAAGGATTGTGTTTGGTTGTTTTGCCTTTGGCTATGTTTACATTATGTACTAGGGGTGCGATTCCCCTGCTCGTGTACATATACTCACGCTAGTTCTTATTGAGCTAACATGCATATAAATAGCAGTGTTGTTGTGGTAGCATGTGTAGCGGCAGCATGAGCATGGCTGAGCTGTGCCAAGTACAAACCTGTCGGAAACCAGTGGGTATGTATTCGGCACAGCTCAGCCGGGCCCATTCTGCCACTATGCATGCTACCACAGCCACACTGCATTGCATCCGATGAAGTGAGCTGTAGCTCACGAAAGCTCATGCTCAAATAAATTGGTTAGTCTCTAAGGTGCCACAAGTCCTCCTTTTCTTTTTGTGAATACAGACTAACACGGCTGCTACTCTGAAAACTGCTGTCTATATTCTTTTGTGATGTCATTTGTTCACTAGTTGCCCAGGGTAGAGAAGACCTGGAACTCTAAATTTAAAGCAAACATTAGCATCACCTATATGCTGTGCCTTACTTGGGCTGGGTTGCAAGCTGCCAGTTCAGCCCTTTGTTAATAACTAGACCAGATATTTCATGCTTGGGCTTTTACAGTATTTTATGCGTGTATGAGATGATCAAAAGACATTTCTTGCTACTTTTTGATGTCAGGACCAGTAAGTCGACCAGAAAAGCCACTGTCAGCAACTCGAAGGAATGTGTGTGAGAAGAAGGATCCTGAGCAATCTGCTTCTGCTGTCATTAAAGCTATGCAAGTTGAAAATGAGATCTTGCAAAGAGAGATGCTTTGCAGAAGGCTGGAGACTTCTACCAGCCGTCAAATGGTATGCCAAAGTACTGACCTGGGACAAGAGAGATCCAAGGTGTTCACTAGCAAAAATTATTTCCTTTCCCTAAACATGAATAGGAATCTTATATAGTTTAGTACAGAGATACTCAGACCTCAGTGGTTCAGGAGCCAAATTGGCAATCAACATTACCCAAAAGAGTATTAGTATGAATTCATTGTTTCATTTACTATAGTAGTATATATTCATATTTAAATAGAATGGCAGGGGAAATATTTAGTTAATTTTTTATATATGTGGTATATAATGCTCACAGCAAAATGACTGACGAAGTATTATTATTTTATCAACTATTGTTGGTTAATAACATAGTAAAAGCATTCTGAGTGGTTAATAATTAAATCACACAGTGTTTTAATATCATATGCTGCAAAGAGCCGCATTAGGCACATTAAAGAGCCGCTTGCGGCTCAGACGCCTCAGTCTGAGTATCACTGATTTAAAGCCTTACAGGGGTAGGTGGTGGGGTGAATCTTAACACTACATGAAATGGAATAGTGTGGTCATCCCATATGCACTTTCTGGGGATATTACCTTACAGCTCTTTCTTGATTTCAGAGAAGATCAGAAAAGAATGTGTTAACCATTTATGTGACTCTTCTTCCTAGAGATAGAAAGGATCCTTCTGGTTTCTGCCATTCCCTCCCTCAAAGTTAACACCCAAACAATTTGAAAAGCAGTCACATGACTTTCACTGCACACATTCACCAAGCACTTAGGGCCTGATCCTAGTTTCATTGAAGTCAATGGGAGCTTTTAATTTGCTTCAGAATTGGATCAGACCCTTCTTGGCTGGAATTCAGGACTGGGTCTGTTGGTGTTACAGAATCTCTTTCCAGGTTATGGGCTGCCAAATTCTCCAGTCTCCTTTTTATTTTTTGTGATGTCTGTTGTTTTGTGGTTGAGAGAGAGAGTAGTTCCCTCTGCATATTCACAAGTAACATGAACTTGCTATGTTTTATGAAAGTAAGGTAATACTTACTTAATAGGCATTGTCTTGGGACACAGAGTGGGATTTTCAAAAGCCCCCAGTCTCAGTGTTGGCCTAACTCTACTCTCAGGGAAGCAATTTACTTCCAGTTACTACTAACACTAAAGGCTTTGAAAATCCCACCTTCAACATGTAAATGTGCTACAGGGCAGAATTAAGGCATTAAAAAGAAAACAAACAAAAGATGGCATTTCATTTCCTGGGACTTTTAAATTCTACTGGCTTTGATTGCATGTGTAAATTCCATAGCCCAACTCCTTGCCTCAGATTCTGTGTACCTTTCAAAGCCTACAGGAGCCTCTCTCTATCTCTCTTACAAGGTCCATAGGGTCCTTTTCCTGAGCTTCATCTGTCCCTAATTATTCACCTCATATTTGACCCACAGACTTTTCACCGCACAGCTAGGTTACCCATTTGTACATATATGTCACATTCTTAATGACAAGAACATGAAAAAAATCTAGTGCATGTCTGTGGTATGTCATTTAGCAGAGAAATAGTTCTCCTGGAGGAGCAGTGCATGGCCTTGTTCCAGATGAAATAGGATTTGGTTTGACCAAGTTACAAGCCTTGAAGTCCAGGAGATATAGGTTCAGGTCTCCTGCTACTTCGGCTCCAGCCCCAGGCCCTTCAAGACTTGTGGGAAATGCCAAACAATCATTTTGACGGGCCTGTTGAGGATGCAAACAGTTTCCATCTCTCCAGACCCAAATTCCCCCACTTTTGCAAATGGTCTGTCCCACTTCCTCAGTGCTTGGTACCAAGTTATTTCAGACCAGTAGGTCTCCAGTTTGTTTCTAAAATTCTTTCCCACCCTTCTTCCCCATCCCTCTTCGGAGACTACTCCCACGAGACAATCCTCCTCCAGGAGGTACAGTCTCTCCTTTGCTTGGGGGTCACCGAGGAGTTTCAACACTGTCTCAGATGGCAGGGGTTTTAATCCCTCTATTTCTTAATTCCAAAAGTGAAGAGGAGTCTCAGACCAATCTTAGACTTGCGTCAACTCAACAAATTCTTAAAAAATAAAGTTTTGCATTGTCACCCTAGCTTCCCTGGATCCTGGTGCCACCCTTGCTTGACTTAACAGATGTCTACTTCCATGTGGCAATCAATCAAGCTCACAGGATGTACCTCAGATTTTTGGTAAATCAAAATCATTACCAGTTCATTGTGCTACCGTCTGGCCTGTCACCAGTTCTCAGGGTCTTTACAAAAGTTATGGCAGTAGTATCTGCATTCCTCAGAATATCTGGAGTTCAACTCTATCTGGATGACTGGCTTGTCAAGGGCCGATCCGGACTGCAGGTACAGTGTAGTGTATTCCTGATCCAGTTGACAGTCAATGCTTTGGGACTGCTAGTCAACACAGAGAAGTCTCTCATCTCCTTGGTCCAGAGGATAGAGTTTATAGGGACTGTAACGGACTCAACTCAAGCCAGAGCTTTTCTTCCAGACTCGAAGGTTCAAGCAATTTAATCAGTTGTCATAGGTATGAAAGCTCACCTGGTCACAACAGCACAAAAGTGTTTGAGGCTTCTGGGGCACATGGATTTCTGCACTTACCTGGTTCAGTGTGCCAGACTGCACCTCCGAGTTCTACAGGGTTGGCTGGGATAAGTCTACTTTCTGAGCTGTCATCATCTAGATTCGGTGGTGAAGGTACGCTCTCATGTCCTCCCTTCCCTACATTTGTGAACAAGTCTAGCCAATGTATGTGTAGATGTTCCCTTTGCCTGCCCACAGTCAACATGCACATTAGCTCTGGCTGTTAAGTTTGGTTGCTAGTTTGATTAAAGTACATCTTGTAACTATTTCACTGTTCCATTCTGAAGTGAATTTTTCTCTAATGACATGTCCATACATTTTTGAAAGGCCTAGTCAAATTGTATCTTCAGGTGCAAGATTCCCATTCCCCTGTGGGATCTAAACTTAGTGTTATCAAGACTTATGGGTGCCCTGTTTGAGCCTTTGGCTACTTGCACTCTACTGCATCTGTCAATAAAGAGAATTTTTGGTGACCATCACCTCAGCCAGAAGGGTAAGAGAGCTGCCTGCCTTACTGTCTGGGCTTCCCTATGTGATATTCTTTAGGGACAAGGTTTACCTGTATTCTCAGCCAATGTTCGTCCCAAAGGTGGTGTAATCTTTCCATACGAACCGTCCAATTTATTTGCCTGCATTCTACCTGAAGCTGCATTCGAGCAGGGAAGAGGAGTGTTTCCGTACCCTGCATATCAGAAGAGCTCTGGCATTCTAACTGCACAGAACCAGGCACTTCCCTAAGTCTTCCCAACTGTTAGTAGAGGTGACAGACAGAACAAAAGGACAATTAGTCTCCATCCAAAGAATTTCTTCTTGGATAGCCTCCTATATACGCGTGTGCTATGACATGGCTAATGTCACCCTTGTGAGCAGAGTCACAGTTCATTCACTGAGGTCCCAATCTGCCTCAGTGGCTTTTATGGCACATGTTCCAATTGTGGACATTTGTAGAGCGGCAACCTGGTCCTCAGTCCACATATTTGCCTCCCATTATGCTGTGACTCAAGATTCCAGAGACAATGCTAGAGTTGGATGAGTCGTTGTCCAATCCCACCTCTTGTTTTCACAGCTTGAGAGTCACCAAGAGTGGAATGCATATGTGCAATCACTTAAAGAAGAAAAATTAACCTGTTCAGTAACTGTTATTCTTTGGGATGAGTCACATGTGTCCATTCCATGACCCACCCTCCTGCCCCTCTACATGGGAGTTCTAGCAAGAAGGAACTGAGGGGAGCTAGGGGTGGCTCTGCCATTTATATGTCCATGCGCTGGTGCATGGCAGCAGAGGGCACTTGAATGTCCCAGTGGGTACTGCTGAGGGGAAAAGTTTCTGACATCCCTGCGCTGGACACACACATACTGAGAATGGAATGGACATGTGCAACATATCTCAAAAAAGAACAGTTACTGAGCAGGTTAGTAACTGTTTTTTCCAGGACCCGATGAAACACATGGTGTAAACCTCAGTCATACCCCTGAAAGTGGTCCAAGAGAAGCAGCGCAAAGAAATTTTTCATATTTTCACAATACAGAGATTTATCATGGCCATTAATGAAAGTTTACTAGAGTCCTCAAGAATCATCTGTGTACACCTCCATCCATCCCTTTGTGAATCTGTGACCAGTGATGAATAAAATGTGACAGCCTTCTTAAACCAGTATGTTGCTTAATATTAACAATAGGAGCAACATTTAGAGAAAAAGGATTTTAAAACAGTCAACATGTGTGTCTTTCTTACCTAAAGCCTTATCATTCTGTGATGGTGTCCTAAGCAGACCTAGCTTCTTCAGATACCCAAATAGGTGTCTGTGTTAGTTTGAACAGCTCTCCCAACAATTACCTGGAATTTCCCCCCTGGAAAAGAGAGCCTCATTTTATCCAGCTAGAGTTCCTTTGGGCTTGCCAGTTGACAGGCTTTTGGCTCTGCTTCTCCAAACCAATTCAGCAGGCTCCACAGGAGGTTGAGGCAGACTCCTCAGAGCCAAGGGCTCACCCATTGTCCTACAATAACCCTCTAATGTTCATTATAGGATAGCTTATCTTGAGCTGTTGTTTCCTTTCTGTTTATTTTCTTACAGCTTACTATTAAACTAAACCAATATATTCACATAGTAAACATCTCAATAACCAGGTCAACATATAGTAGTTGTAAATAATTACAGAACAGCTGACCATCTGTCACACTAGTAACAGCTGTTCTCTGAAATCTGTGTGATGTGATGGATCAGAGCTCACCCTTCCTTCAGCATTTAAAGATTATGTAATCTTTTGTACTTTGTACAATTGTGATAAATATGGGAATCTTCTTATGAAGAACCGGGGAGATATTTGCATTTTTTAATGAATGTCCTGTGTACCTCAGTGCTTGATATTGTCCGGTAGGACTGCATTAAGTTGAATCAAAGAAAGCTGTTAGGGGAAAACAAGCAGGAAATGAATGACAGTCACAAGGTTCCTCCAAAGAGAATACCAACTCTCCTTAAGAAAATAATGTGGGAACTATTAATTGGAAAATGCCCACCTGCCTGTTTTCAGCCAGGTTAGCAGATTTATTTTTCCGCAGCCTGAGCCTAGAATCAAAGGAACATTAAACCATTAAAGACTTCTTCCTAGAGAGGAAGGAAGGGGTGTGTGGGCATCAGCGGCCTGGGGGACATGCTGCAGGGAGAGAGAGGCAGAAAATGGTGCATGGCATGGCTGTCTCTTGCAACCCAGAAGTAGGGGGCCTGGACTGAGTGGAACTTATGGGAAACTTTCAAGGAAAGGGTAAGAGTTAGGTAAGACCCAGGCAAATAGACCTTTTGTTGTTTTATCCCTTTCTGCTTTCTATCTATATCTGAGTGTGTAAACAATGTTTGTTTTGAAGAAATCAGTTTTGAGTCACTTTAATTAACCATGGTTCACAAGTCTCCCAAGTTTCAGAGTGATAGCCGTGTTAGTCTGTATCAGCAAAAAGAATCAGGAGTACTTGTGGCACCTTAGAGGCTAACAAATTTATTTGAGCATAAGCTTATGCTCAAATGAATTTGTTAGTCTCTAAGGTGCCATAAGTCTCCCAAGAGAAGTTTTCTTGCAGGTTCCAAATACAGTTGGGACTGTCACATTATAATGGTTGGGAAATAAGGGGGACTGCAATCCACAGATTCAATCCAAGAGTGGTTGAGCCTTGGAGTTCTGCCTTTGACAGACGTGAACGAAGCCAAGTCTGTCACCAGAAGGGTGCACTCAATTGGGCCTTCAAAGGGATCTAAAAAGCAGTTTGCACTGTAACCATGACAGTTTTTATCATCTATTGTGAAAGGAGCAGGTGATTTTAGCATCAGGCCCCACCAGTGACTTTAGGCCTTTGAATTTGAGGAGTTTCTGCCCTGTTCACATGCAGGATCATGAGACAAGGGCAGTGCTCTTTCTTTCAAAGTATTATCAGCAGAGGACTGCCATTGCAGGGATGTAATTTCTTATTTTCATGAAAGCACATTGAAGTGGCGCAAGCTGAAAGTGGGAAGGAGATTGCATTTTCACTCTTTCATGTATGCTTTAAATCTCATATTAATAAATTATTTTAAAGGGTGGTATGAAATCCTTTTACATTATTTTCACCTGCCTTACATATAAAGGACCAGATTCTAATCTCAGCTATAACAGTGTAAATCCACAGTAATTCCATTAAATTCAACGGAAATAGGTTGGATTTACATTAGTTTAGCTAAAATCAGAATTTGGCCATACTCTCATTGATTTCAGAGACACAAACCACAGCTCATATTGTTTTATGTGCGTAGGGAATAGCGTATATAAAATTTGTTAATCTTTTCTTACATAGCTGCCTTCTGTTTCAATTTCATCTATTTCTGCAACAACTGAGCCTTCAGAAAAACAACAGGAAACAACTGTAGTCACAGAAGCCATTGAAAGAATTGGCCATTTGGGAAGCAGGTAACTATATTAGTTTATTTAAGAGTGATTTCCTTAATGTGACTGGATTATTGATATCATATACTGTGGTTCTCTGGTTTTATCCTTTCTCGTGATTATTTCTAGAAGCATGTAATTTCTGCTCTGTGTAATGGGATAAATCTTACCAACAAAATATTTTTCTAGATGTTCCTTCCTGTGTCCCATATTTCGTCTCTACCCTGTAAAAGGCAGGATGACCTGCATCTTGGTTATGTACAGGGGAGAGGCTGAAAATATTGGTCTTCTAAGTTCAACAGACTTTTCTGCTACAGTCCAGGTGAGAGTGGGTGTGTGATGGGGTTTATCAATCCTGCACCAACGAGGCAAGGGTTAAGGAGCCACTCTGGACACGGGAAGCCACGCCCCCTCGCCTTTGCTAGGCATGTTTCCAGTTGTGGGAGCATTCGAAGAGGAAGTAGCTCAGCAGTGGAGGAGATTCCAGAGACAGACTAGAGAGGAGCACAGGAAGGCCCGATTTTGCAAAACTGTTCATCCTCCAAATGGATTCCTCCAAGGTGGGCCTCAGGGCCATATTGTCTGAGGAGGTGGATGTCAAAGAACATCCAGTACTGTAGGTAAGCAGGAAGCTGTTCCCCTGGGGAACCAAATACTTGACAGTTGAGAAGGAGGTGCAAGCAGAATAAAGTTCAGACAGTAATATATATATATATATATTTGGTCCTATAATAGGAGAAAAGTCACAAAGCTGAAAACAGTTATGAGCTAAATCAACTCGTAGGAAGAATTTAACAAAGAAAAATGTGACTGATAATTGGGACTCATTTAAGAACACCTTACTAGATGCCCAAACAGCCACAAAGAAGGCTGTGCTGGTTAACAAAACAACCTGGTTTAGAGGAGACGTGATGGCAGCTATTATTATATACTTACTGAATATTTTATATATCTATAGATGGATATAGATATCTTTATATAAATTGAAAATATAGGTATATCGTGTGGCAAGGCACCTCTTTTCTCTTGCTAGCCTTAGCCCTTCCCCATCAGGTGATGGTGGGCCTGGGGTAATCAGCCCCACTCAGGCAGGGTTTGCCTTCCCCCTTCTGTGCTCCCTTGGTTGTATTTTCAGGGTAGGCCTGAGGGTCGGCCTAAGGGTGATCCTCCACCAAAGAAACAGTCTCATGAACAAAAACCCATGAGGGTACCTTTCTCTACCCCCCTCGCTGGGGCAAGGTGTCATCCTGTTGGTTGCCCTGGAGCATCAGTCCTTCCCCTAGCAGGCACTCAGTTTTGGCTGTCTCCCTATGGGAAGGAACACAAGCTCTGATCCTGGAGCAGTTTATTTCCCTGTTGCCACTAGGCTGGCAGCAGCTTGTCTTTCTCTCTCTCCCCCCCTTCCTATCCTCAGAGGAGGGGTTTTTAAAGGCCTCAGGCAGCCCTTAATTGGATTCCAGTGTCCGTAATTGACCTGAGGTAACCATTTCTCAGCTTGTAGGGAAAAGGGCTTTTAACATTCTAGGGATAATATATCGGCCTTCCAGGACCCTCTTGCAGCCGTCTGGCCTGACTTTGTCACAACAGATATCTATCTATCTATCTATCTAGAACAAATTCAAGAAGGGGGAAGCTGAAAGAAAGGAATATGAATCAGAAGTTAGGAATTGTAGAAAATTGATAAGGGAAGTCAAAGGACACAAGGAGAAATCTATGGCCAGCAAAGTTAGACAATAAAAAGGAGTTTTTTCAATATATTAGGTACAAAAAGAATCCTGAAAATTGTATTAGTCCACTACTTGATGAAAATGATAGAATTATCAATAATAATGCAGAAAAGGCATAAGTGTTCAATAAATATTTCTGTTCTGTATTGGGGAAACATTAGGTGACATAGTCTCATCATATCGTGATGATAACACTCTTTCCATTCCACTAGTGTCTCTGGAGGTTGTTATACAGAAGCTACTAAAGTTAGACATTTTTAAATCAACAGGTCCAGGTAACTTGCATTCAAGAGTTTTAAAACAGCTGCCTGAGGAGCTCGCTGAACCATTTATGTTGATTTTCAATAACTCTTGGAGCACTGGGAAGTTTCAGAAGACTAGAAGACAGCTATTGTTGTGCCAATTTTTTAAAAAAGTCAATGGGATGACAGGGATAATTATACCCCTGTCAGTCTTACATTGATCCTGGGTAATGGAGCAGCTGATATGGGACTCCCATTAATAAACAATTAGAGGAGAGTTATGTAATTAATGCCAATCAACATGGATTTATGGAAAATAGCTCCTTTCTAACTTGATATCTTCTTTTATGAGTTTTACTAGTTTAGCTGATACAGGTAACCATGTTGATGTAATAGACTTTTGTAAGGTGTATGACTTGGTACTGCATAACATTTTGATTAAAAATCTAGAATGATATAAAATTAACATGGCACACATTAAATGCATGAAAAACTGGCTAATTGATAGGTCTCAAAATGTAATTGTAAATGGGGAATCATCATACAGCCGGGTCTCATAGGGATCAGTTCTTGTCTCCATGCCAGTCAACATTTGTATCAATGTTCTGGAAGGAAACATAAAATCATCAGTGATAAAGTTTGTAGATGGCACAAAAAAATGGAAAAGAGGTAAATAATGAAGAGGACAGGTCACTGATACAGAACAATCTGGATTGCTTGGTAAACTGGGCACAAACAAACAGTATGCATTTAATTCAGCTAAATGTAAATGTGTACTGTGACGGGTTCAGTCACAGAGACCCCCTTGGACTGTCACCTGATGTGCTGAAACTACCTCTGAGCCCATTTTCTTTGCCAGCTTGGGACTCCAGAACCCTGTCTTGTTGAGCCAGACTTGCTAGCCTGCTGCAACATAGACCCATGGTCTGAACCACGCCCCCAAAGCTGCAGACTTAACTGAAAACAGCTCAGCAAGTACTCTTGTCTCCAGCACCCAGACACCCAGCTCCCAATGGGATCCAAACCCCAAATAAATCCGTTTTACTCTGTATAAAGCTTATACAGGCAAAACTCATAAATTATCTGCCCTCTATAACACTGATAGAGAGATATGCACAGCTGTTTGCTCCCCCAGATATTAATCACTTACTCTGGGTTAATTAATAAACAAAAGTGATTTTATTAAGTATAAAAGTAGGATTTAAGTGGTTTCAAGTAATAACAGACAGAACAAAGCAAGTTACCAAGCAAAATAAAACAAAACACGCAAGTCTAAGTCTAATAAATTAAAAAACTGAATAAAGGTAAATCTCACCCTCAGAGATGTTCCAATAAGCTTCTTTCACAGACTAGATTCCTTTCTAGTCTGGGCCCAATCCTTTCCCCTGGTGCAGTCCTTGTTAGTTCCAGCTCAGGTGGTAACTAGGGGATTTCTCATGATTGGCAGCCCCCTTTGTTCTTTTCCACCCCCTTTTATAGCTTTGGCCCAAGGCGGGAATCTTTTTTCTCTCTAGGTCCCCACCCTTCCTTCTAAATGGAAAAGCACCAGGTTTAAGATGGATTCCAGTTCAGGTGACATGATCACATGTCACTGTAAGATCTCCTTCTTTATTACCTAGTAGCTGGAAGACAGGTACACAGGAAGACTTGCAGGTAGACAAACCTATTCACAGTTCATTAATTCTGAAGCACCCTTAATGGCTTCCACTTAACATGTTTACATCAGTAATAAAGTTTATATCTTATTCTCCTAACTCCAGACATAGAAATAATACATACAAACAAATAGGATGAACACACTCGGTAGATCATAAGCTTTGTAATGATACCTTACAAGAGACCTTTTGCATAAAGCATATTCCAGTTACATTATTTTCACACTCATTAGCATATTTCCTTAAAACATATGGAGTGCAACGTCACATGTACATTTAGGAACATAGGACATACTTACAGGATGGGGGACTCTATCCTAGGAAGCAGTGACTCTGAAAAAGATTTGGGGATTGTCATAAATATAAAGGGAAGGGTAACCACCTTTCTGTATACAGTGCTATAAAATCCCTCCTGGCCAGAGGTAAAACCCTTTCACCTGTAAAGGGTTAAGAAGCTAAAATAACCTCGCTGGCACCTGATCCAAAATGACCAATGAGGGGACAGGATACTTTCAAATCTGGAGAGGGGGAGAACAAAGGGTTTGTCTGTCTGTGTGATGCTTTTGCCAGGAACAGATCAGGAATGCAGCCTTACAACTCCTGTAAAGTTAGTAAGTAATCTAGCTAGAACATGCATTAGATTTCCTTTTGTTTAATGGGTGGTAAAGCTGTGCTGGATGGAATGTATATTCCTGTGTTTGTGTCTTTTTGTAACTTAAGGTTTTGCATAGAGGGATTCTCTATGTTTTGAATCTGATTACCCTGTAAGGTATTTACCATCCTGATTTTACAGAGGTGATTCTTTTACTTTTTCTTTAATTAAAATTCTTCTTTTAAGATCCTGATTGCTTTTTCATTGTTCTTAAGATCCAAGGGTTTGGGTCTGTGTTCACCTGTACATATTGGTGAGGATTCTTATCAAGCCTTCCCCAGGAAAGGGGGTGTAGGACTTGGGGGGATATTTTGGGGGAAGACGTCTCCAAGTGGTCTCTTTCCCTGTTCTTTGTTTAAAACGCTTGGTGGTGGCAGCATACTGTTCAAGGACAAGGCAAAGTTTGTACCTTGGGGAAATTTTTAACCTAAGCTGGTAAGAATAAGCTTAGGGGGGTCTTTCATGCAGGTCCCCACATCTGTACCCTAGAGTTCAGAGTGGGGAAGGAACCTTGACAGGGATCATGATGGATAATCATCTGAACATGAGCTCCCTGTGCGATATTATGGCCAAAACAGCCAGTGTGATTCTCAGATGCATAAATAGGGGAATCTCAAGCAGGAGTAGAGAAGTTATTTTATCTCTGTATTTGGCATTGGTGCAACCACTGCTGGAACACTTTGTCCAGTTCTGGTGCTCATAATTCATGAAGTATTTTAATACATTGGAGAGGGTTCAGAGGAGAGCAATGAGAAGGATTAGAAAATATGCCTTATAGTGATAGACTCAAGGAGCTCAATCTGTTTAACTTATCAAAGAGAAGGTTAAAGGGTGACCTGATTACAGTATATAAGTATCTACATAGGGAAAAATATTTAAATAATGGGCTCTTCAATCTAGCAGAGAAAGGTATAACATGAAGTTGAAGCTAGACAAATTCAGATAGGAAATAAGGCTTGTTATACAGGAGGTCAGACTAGATGGTCAGAGTGGTCCCTTTTGTCCTTCATATCTATGAATCTATAGCACAGGCCTGAGAACGTCCCTGAAATAATTCCTAGAGACTATCTTTTAGAAAGCATCCAATCTTGTTTTTAAAAATTATCAGTGATGGAGAATCCCCCACAGCCCTTGTTCAGTTGTTCCAATGGTTAATTACTCTCACTGTTAAAATGTACACCTTATTTCCACTCTGAATTTGTGTAGCTTCAACTTCCAGCCATTAGATTGTGTTATACCTTTCTCTGCTAGATTGAATAGCCCACTATTAAATATTTGTTCCCCATATAGATACTTACATGTATGTTAAAGAGCCCTCTGGTATCAAATATCTTCTTTTGTGTAGGTAGTTATAAACTGTGATTAAACTTCACCTTCTCTGAATACATTCTTAAGAAAAATCCTTTATCTAAAAATAGCATATCTTGCAAAGCAAGTACATGGGAAATAAAGAAAGAAAAATGCTGCTGCAGTTGATACGGGGGCAGAAATAATCAGTGTTTGCATTGCTTTTTAGGTACATCTTTGTCTGAATTTCATGGGCTTCTAATAGGGTTTTTTAAATAACTGTAATGTCCTGCATGAGTTAGGTGGGGGTTTTTTTCATTCTGAGTTTTCTTCACCTTTACTCTAACTCAGTATTTTTTTTCCAAGTAAAAAGTTCAGAAACGAAATTCCTAAGAGTTTAACTATGTTTCAGGCAACAGAGGAAACTTTTGAAACTCCTGCAGGAAATTGAGAGCTGTTCTAGCTGCCACAGTCACGAAGTCCTACCTACTGAGGAACCGGAGCCAGATTCTGTGGTGAGAAATAAGGCTTGTACGGATAGGTGCAATAATCACAGCTTTGTAACTATTCTCTCATCAAGATCTTATCAAAAACCAAAATGCAAAAGTGGTACTTTGAATGACTTGTGGCCTTGTGGGAGAGGGCACAGGAAACATGACTTCAACATGTCTCAGGGAGCAGGCACAGCTATGGGCATGGGCTTCCTTGGACTACTGAATTGCCAGGGTCTCACTCTCTTGCAGTGAGAAGGGGTCATATGGGTCCTGCTGGTCATATATGTTTGGAAAATGTAGTTGTATAGTGGCACAATGAACTCTTTTTTTCAAAGTCACTTGCAACTCTTGCTCCATAGACACACCCAGCAGGAAGTAAGTTCAGACTGTGCAAGTGATTGGAGTCTTGATTTACCTCTGTGGTTTCCATATATTCCATACCTGAAAACCTGCTGTCTTTCAGATGATGATTGGTCAGAGAGAGGGTATGTGTGTGTATTATAGGTAGGACTCCTACCAACAGCTATAGTTAGGGTTACCTAACTATACTCTTTGTCAAATTTTAACTGTTCAGGCTGAAATTTTCTTAAATTCTTTTAAGAAAGTTTAACCAAAAATAGCTCAACCATTTCTTTAGGGAAAATTAGCTAGTTTTGCCACCGCCTCATACACCTATGTTGCGAGGCAGGCAAGTATCATTCCTCCTTTATTTTACAGATGGAGTAACTGAAAGGTTGCAAAGGTCAGTTCTGGCTGAACTAGGAATTGAACTCAGTCAATAGATTCTACGATGCTTTCCGGAAGCTGAGTGGAAAAGGTGCCACCTGGAGGGAAAGGGGGTAAAGGATACTGCGCGGGCTGGCCGCCACTTCCTGCAGCTCCCATTGGCCAGGAACGGTGAACCACGGCCACTGGGAGCTGCGGGCAGCTATGCCTGCAGACGGTCAGTGTAAACAAACTTTCTCGTGGCCCGCCAGCGGATTACCCTGACGGGCCGCAGGTTGCCCACCACTGGAATAGATAGTTAATTTAGGTGAGAGGGCTGTTTTCCCTCTCTGTTTCTCCATGAGACTTATCTTCTCCTGATGAGGTGTGCCTAGTTTGCCAGGCTTGAAACGCTGCCTCTTTTCCCAGGAGGCTATATTGATGGACATTCCAACTGTGTCCGTTGCTTGTGGGAGTCCCACATCTTCCAGAAGTGTTCTTTTTGTTTAGCTCTTAAGTTCAGGGGTAGGAAGAACAGGGAAATAAAGCTCAGACCGTTGGTGATGGAACGTTCCCTGCAACCACCCTCTGAGCCAGGTCAGAAGACACCCCGTATACATCTGTCCCTGGACAGATCCAGCGCCACGTCAACCTTGGGGCACACGTCTGCTAAGAAAGGGGAACCTTTGGAGCATGCAGGGAAGACTCCCAAAAAGTTAAGCATGGACCCTGTATCTGAGGAGCCAGCTCCGAAAAAGACCAGTTCCCCACTGAGAAAGGAACAGCAGTGTGTAGGAGAATGGACATCAAGAGGAAAAACAGTGCCGATACCAATGAAGCTAGCAGTCAGGTAGGCGATACTGGCTGTAGAATGACTGTCCTCAATAGGGTGAGGAATGTAGGCAAAGCCAAGCAGAAACAACTAAGACGTTTGTACACCAATGCAAGGAGCCTGGGCAACAAAATGGAGAAACTAGAACTACTGGTGCAGGAAGTGAAATCAGCTATTATAGGGATAACAGAAACATGATGTAATAGAAGTCATGATTGGAGTACAGGGATTGAAGGGTATGTGCTGTTCAGGAAAGACAGAAATAAAAGTAAAGGTGGTGGATTGTAGCATTGTATATTAATGATGAGGTAGACTGTAAAGAAATTAGGAATGGATAAAACAGAGTCTGTTTCGGTCAAAATCACTTTGGGAAAGAAAGCTACTAGAGGTTCTCTTGGGATAGTGCTTGGGGTATGCTACAGACTCCAGGATCAGATTTGGGTCTAGCTAGGGACCTCTTTAACGTTCACACGTTCCCATTGTCTTTGTCTCTAAAAACTGATTTGGGCTTGCTTTTCTTAACCTTAGGGCAAATTATTACAATGTTATAGAATCTTGTGACTTTACATACAACACGGATACACACATTTTTACCAAAGCAATAACATTCAGCAGATTATGACATTTCAAATGATACCTAACAAGGCATACTTTGTACAAAATTTATCATAGTTTTGTAAAAGTGGTGAACACAGTAGTATAGACTGTCACATACTAAGGACCAGGGGCTTTCCTCCTCCCTTCTACTCCAACAGAAGTCCCACTCAAACTCCCCTGTTGACAGTTCTGTTTGCTGGCTCCCATGCCTCACCCTCCATAATTCCTCCCTTAGATCTCCAGGACTGGTTCATGGCTCTTGACCTGCAAGAGGCCTGTTTCCACTTATCTATTCATCCAGCACAGGAAATACCTCAGATTCCTTGTAGAAACATCTGATTACCAGTATAGAGTCCTGCCCTTTGGTCTTTCCACAATACTGAGGGTATTCACCAAGTACTTGGCATTCATGGCAGCTCACCTAAGGAGACAAGGAAACCAAGTCTACCTATACCTTGGAGACTAGCTGATTCGAGGAGATCATCCAACAGGTGACCAACTCAATTCAAGTAACCTTATAGCTCTTCACCTCACTGGGACTCAAAACCAACAGATAAAACTCCACAGTGATTCCAACTCAAAGCATAGAGTTCAGAGGAGCAGTGTTAGACTCCAGGTCAGTGAGAGCTTACCTTCCATAGGAAGAGTTCCAGATAACAGTAAGTCTCATCAACCACCTTGAAGATCATTCAAAAATATCAGTAAGAGTATGCCTTAGACTGCTGGGATTCATGGACTCATGCACCTGTGTTATGCAGTTTGCAGACTTCATCTATGCTCCATAAAAGGATGGTTGAAATTAGTATCTATCCAGCAGACACCATGTGGACATGCTGTACAAGGTCCCACAAGAAGTCTTCATTAAACTGGTGGAAAAACCTCTTCATGGGTACAGTGGAGTATCCCTCTCTACACCTCTATCTACAAAGACTTTGGTAACAGTCACCTTTCACTCAGGGACAGGGTGGCAGAAAGACTGTTTGCACGGGAACCTCCAGCTGTTCTGTTGGCAATATGTAGATTTCTTGCTCACACCCTTCTTCCTGTAAAAGAATGGCTGTTTAACCAGGGATAGTCCATTTGATTGTGTTGACACCTGGTTGAGGTGTTGGCTAGCATGTCTGGGGAACTTGTTTGAAGCTATTTTCCCAGACTTGGAGCATGTCTTCTATAGTAAAATTTTATAACTTTACATACAGTGCTATCGCACATATTTTACCAGGATGATAATGTTCAGCAAATTATGAATTTTCAAATGATACCTCACAAGGCATACTTTGTACAAAATGTATCATAGTCTTGTAAAAAGGGTGAATATAAGGGTAGGGATCTCACACCATTACATCAGCTTGAAGGGCAGGAGATATTCCGGCCCTCATGGCAGGTTTGCCTTCTGCATTATTTAATAAGGACAACATCATCCTCAGGTCTCAACCCAATTCCCTACCCAAAATTGTTTCAGAGTTCCATGCACGCCAATTTATTCATTTCCCAGTTTTCTTTCCCGAGACTTGCTCAACCTTGGGGGAAGCTAAACTTCACATACTTGATGTAGTACTGACATGACAACAACCACTCAGAAACGTATTGGGGCTCTATGTGGCCTTTGCAGAGATTATGAGTCAGACAATATCTTCAGAGCTTATCTAAGTGGGTCTCCAACTGTATAAGGACAAGTTATGAATTAGTCAGCTTAGGTCCACCTAACTACGTTAGAGCTGCCTGTTTGAAGAATGTCCCTATTTCTGAAATCTGTAGGGCTAGGGCTAGGGCAGTTACATACAGCTTGGTCCACACATTTACAAAACACTTCTATTTCATAGTAAACACTTGCAGATTGGATCCCCATTTTGGTAGAGCTGTCCTACAACCATTTTGATTCCTACTGCCCAACTCCAATCAAAGAGATAACTGTTTGTAGATCACCAAGAGTGGAATCTATGTGATCAATCACTTGAAGGAGAAATGGCTACTTACCCTACAGTAACTGTGGTTCATTGAGATTTATTGTCCACATGGATTCCACAACCCACCCTTCTACCCTGCTACTGCAAAGTTCTACTCCTCAGGGATTCTGTTTTGGTGAAGGAACTGTGGTATGGTTGGGCCTGCTCCACCCCTTAGGGCTTCAGATGGGTGTGATGGGGGAGTATAAGGAAGTATAGGGTGCAGGCATGGCCCCAATGGATTCTGCTGGCCAAAATAAGCATATCTCATGTGCATGGGGCATATTCGCACCGAGAGTAGAATCCATTTGGATAACACATCTCAAAGAACCACAGTTACTATAAGGTAAGTAATCATTCTTTATTATTGTTTTTAGCAAATCTAAGGATTACATACCAAAAATACAGTAAATAATCATTATGGTTGCAAAGCCAAGCACCCAGAAATTAGAAGGTGCCAAAATATTGGTTGTTTGTGCAACTTCAGTTTGACTCCCAAGGCATATGCTGTCAGAGGCAATTTTTACTTATGGCTCACATACTGTTTGTTCTGCAGAACACCCTTGCCTGACTCACCATACAGAATGAAGTGAATGAGGCAGAGAGTTGCAAGAAGAGAAAGGAGAGTCTCTTGCGTTTAAATGCTTGGGACTGGACTGGGCCCCAGGAATGCTGAGTTCTAGTCCTTACTCTCCAATAGGCTTCCTGTGTGACGTTTGGCAGGACCATGATAATGCGCATGAGCTCAAATGAACATTATCTAAACACCCTAAATTCTGACAAGTATCAGGGGGTGGCCGTGTTAGTCTGTATCCACAAAAACAACAAGGAGACCGCTGGCACCTTAAAGATTAACAGAATATTTGATTCTGACATTTCCTAACTTCTGGGTGCTTGACTTTGCAATCATAACATCCTTTTACTATATTTTTTGTATATAATCTATGTGTATAAACAATCTCTCTTTTAGGATCAGCTGCAAACAAAGGCAGAAGTACAGGATGCCATTTATGTGACTATGGAAATCCTCTCCAATTGGGGGAATGCAGTCAATGTGGGCTTGACGGAGGTGGAATTCTTTGATTTACATGCTGTCAGGATGTTTGTGTCTCCTCATGACGTGGACATCCGAAATGCTGACTCTCCAGGGGATCTCTCTTGTCTGGTCAATAGAAGCCTGAATGTAAGTTGCCCTCATCCCACCTGTACAGGCCTCCTTCATTTCAATAGTTTTCTTTATAGTTTATGATCTCTCAGTAAGTTATTTTCTTTCTAAAACATTTAAACCTGAATTTTACCACTTATTCAGTGATTTTAAATGTATGTAATATATTGTTTATGGCTATCGCTGATGGACGTCTCTGTCCAAGATGGGTGTGACCAATATATAATTAGCACTATAGACATGGATGAGTTTGTGTAATTGAATTTTGAATGTTCGGATTTGCACAATTTCATGCTCAAAAGTCAGAAGACGATAACTCTCTCTCCTTGTGTGTTTACACTGTAATATAGGCTTTAAATACAGGAGCACATTACATTTATAAAACAATGGACTACAATGTAATACATCTATCTGCCAAGATACAATTTTTCTGGAAAGTCTTGTGAATCTTCTGCATTTCCTTATTTTTCCTCTCATGATTAACCTAAATAATTGTGTCTTCTGAAAATTTTGCACCTTTACTTTTTTTTCCAGACTCCTAATATATTTTAAACACTGATCTTAGGACAGAAGTTTGGGGCACCCCACTGCTAACCTTTTGCCAAGGGCAGTCACTGGGTAGAGTAGAAAGAGAAGGTGTTCCAGGCATAGGCGTGGCATGAAGATGAGTGAAAGAATTGAACAAAAGGGGTGTGCAGCTTGGAAACATTGGATGAAGTGTAGGCAGCGAGAGGTGGGGGAGGAGAAAGGATGCTCTGTGGTAAAGCCATTGAACTCAGGAATTCTGGGATGAAATCCTGGTCCCATTGAGGTCAGTGGCAAAACTACTATTGAGTTCCACAGAGCTAGGATTTCACCTTGGCCATACACTCACTGTGTGACTTTCAGCAAGTCACTTGAGGTAAAATTTTCAAAAGTCTTTAAATTCTACGGAAAGTCAATTGGACTTCAGGTTCTAAGTGACGTAGGTGCTTTTTGAAAAATTTACCCTTAATCTCTCTGGGCCTCTGTTCCCAGTTTGTAAAATAGGGATAATACTTCTCTCCTTCACACACTGTCTGAAGATAAATGGATTAGTGTATATGAGCCACTCAGATGTAACGGTGATGTGCGGCATATTATTCTGTCCTGTTCTATGCAAGTTCTTATACTGCATGTCTTCCAGTACAGTGCAGTGTGACTAATATCTATCACATGTGGTTTGATCTTTCTATCATACTCTTCCCTGGGGAAAATTGTATGTGCAGTGTAATGTTTTGTTTTGGTGGTATGTGTGTTTTTTATAAATTACATATATTCTGTGTTATGTGTCTATATGATCAAAGGCAAGTTTTAAGACCTACACCTTCCACTGGGAACAAAAGGGGCTGAGGGTTGTGGGGTTCTTGCAAACTATAAGCAGGACCAGAGCTGCCTGCAGCCTTGAAGGCAAGAATAAAAATTTTAACTTTCTAATGACTTCCACATCAACTTCAATGGAAGAATTTTAAAGAGGAGAATGAGGTGGTCCAGAGAAAAAGGAGTGCTCTGGAGGAAAGGAAAAGGTCAAAGTCAGTCCCCCCACACCGCTCTAGTGACTCCCATTCCCCAACTTTCTAAAACCCACTACCACTCTGAAACCCTCCTATACTGAGCTGGTCAGAAATACAGGGAAAAGGGAATATGAGACAACTGAACTCTCTTGTGGGACTGCAGCAGCATTTCTAAATTGAAATATTTTGGGGTTTGTCTGAAATATTTTGGGGGTTGGTCATTCAATTTTTGACCAAAAATAAAAAATTTCCACAGAAAGCATACTTTTCACAAAAAATTCTCGTCAAAAACTCAGTTTTCTGTTGAAAAAACTGTTCAACAGAAAATTTTCAAGAAGTTCTCATACTGTGCACCTTCACCTGACTTTACCTATAGCTGCCAAAATACCATCCTTTCTGGTTACCAGAATATGTCCCACCCTTTTCCTCTTGGCTTTTTAAACCCTTTGCTTCTTACACTTTTCCCAGCTGTTGGCAATGTAAGATCACAAGAGGGTCTCAGTAACCGGGGTGCGGATTTTGGGTTTTGCTTTCTGACCCATGATATAAACTTAGTAGCTGCACATGCGGAGGTAGATCATTGCAGCTACAGGGGGTGCTACATTCTTGTGTTTTTTAATCCCTTTTGTCCATTCTCAGATGTCTACTCATATCCATAATGTGGTTCTCTGTGAGGCTTAAAAAACCATCAAGCACACACCTTTGTATATCTGTAGCTCTAGGTCTAAAATTGTCTGCATAGGAGTCTGGTAAAGCATGAGCAGTACAGAAAATAACATAGAGTCCCTTATTCCCAAGGGTTAAACCGGAAATGTACCTTCAGAAATTGAATTAATCTTTTTTCTCAGTGTCCTGTGGGCACAAATCATACTCTCCTTCCCCCTCCCCTGCCCTCCTCAACTTGCAAGCTGATTAATTTGATTAAAATAAACTGTGGACTGGTTTTGACCCTGCATGTACAAAGCATTGCAGACAGTCTTAGCGCTGGTGAGCATGCAAACTTCTCACAAGCACAGCAGGTAGCAGACCTATATCTTACAGCCCGTCTGCTCTGTGCTTTTCTGCAGGCAGCAGAGTAGAATGTACACTTTGGAGACTGGGGTTAAAGGTTTTTTCTTTTGCTTTCTCTTTAGCAGTCTTGTCTGTCAATTTGTTGTTCCTGTGACTTGGGCTCTCTGCTCCCTTTTTCTGGTGAGCAGTGAGTTAATCACAACTACTTTGCTTCAGGAGAAGAAAAGCGTATTACTAACCATCTCTGCTTGTCCGTGTTTTAGAGCATCAAGGAGCGCTTCCTGTGGACGTGCCCTTTCCATGCACCAGTTCAGCTTTACTTTGTTATCCGCAATCCCAGCTGGTCACGTGACTTTGGTATATCTAAGATCAAGATTTGGAATTACAACACGACGACTCTTAGTGTAAGCAGCTTCTTCTCAACTCCTTGCTGTGTACACTCACCTTAGACCTAGATAGACTCAGTTTGACCTTCCTTCCAAAAGTGTGAAATACATATAGATATTGTCTTCTCTAATAGGAAAGGAGATCTTGAGGGATGTCTCTACTGTGGGGTTTTGTTGTTGTCTTAATTCTAAGTGGTAGACATGCAACTCATAGTGTTTTCACCAACAAAGCCAGTATTCTCTTTGAGTCTTGCTAGTATTTCAGAAGGGGTAACAAAATCCTTGCATAGAGTGTTTGTTGTGGCTTTACTGGTAATTAGAAACTGAGACGCTGAAAGGTAAGTGCATCTCAATATGCAGGTCTCTGTTTGGGTTATATTATCAGAATAGAGAAGACTACTTGTCTGATCACATGATTAATTTGTAGATGATTTAGGAGATAGAGATCGACTGACTTTCCAACTCAGGTTCCTGTAGTTTTTGTCACTTGAAATTTGGCATGTACAATCTGTGTATGCATGTTAAAATTTTAAAATATTCTAGCATTGCAAGAGACATTACACGGCAGATGGTTACTGATTCATATGTCTGCAATTCACTGTGAAATTATTCTAGTTAGTACACTATGATGTTCAGTTCAAAAAATTCCCAGGTACTGAGTCAAAGAGGATTTTCTGTTGTGGATTATAAATGAGATAAGCTTTATCCTTTCTGACTTGCTCTCATCTGTGTTCTTATATAAGCATATGGCAATACAAATGTACAGAAACTGCCGCAGGGGAAACCGTCTTAACAAACACAATATAACACCAGCTTAAATTATTTTCTGGAATCCTTGTTGCTGTGTGTATTAAATGTGGGTTACAAGATGTTATACTGTAAGCAGGGGGGATACAATGGACCTTTCTGAACCCTTTGAAAAGGAATTCTATTTGTGGAGTAAATAATACTGGTCTGTTGTCACCGTGTGTTGAATATGTCGCAAATGTAACTGTATATTGATTTAATTGTTTTGATACATGAAATAGTTGGAAAAACCCCACTTTGGCTAGTTTCTCAGCTAGTACAAACTAGTGTAGTCCTATTGATTCCTGTGCAGCAGTGCTGACTTATGCCAGCTGAGGATCTAGCCTACTATTTTTCATGTGGAGAAATAATAGAAAATAATTCTGAATGGTCCGCTATCATCTGTGATATGGAAAAGTTAGCACCATTTCTGCTGAATTCATTTTTATTCAAGTATTTTTTAAAGAAATAAATAATAAAGAGCTTTACAATTTAAGTTATAACAGCCCTCTGATCACTCCCTCCCCTGCTAAAATAAATCCTGACCAAAACTACTATTTTGTTAAGATCCTGAGTATCACCACCTGCTTCCCCTTCTTTCCACCCCTCAAAAAAAAAAAAAAAAAAAAAAAGCCATGAGTGGGGAGAAGTGTTTAAATGCATCCCAAGTGAATCCTGAATATTTCTGCAATTCATGCAAAGCTTATCTCAGTTTGAACAAGTACTTCAACAGAAACTGAAATTGTTGAGATTGTTTAGGGATCTGGGATTTTAAAACAGGAACTGAAGGTCAAAAAAAGTGGTTGAAAGAAAACTATTAGAACCTGTCACACAATTACTACAGAAAATTTAATTGATTTAAGTGAAAATGTGTATTAATTTAAAGGACATCTCAAATAAAAAGTACTGTCTCACTGTCATTATTGATTAAAATGTAAGGGCACTTCTGAAGACATCTGCTGCATGTATTGATTTAATGCAAAGGTGATCAAGGTGATATCTGCCAGGTTTATAGATCTAAATACCTAAACAGCAGAAAGATAATCACCAACATAGTCAAGTTTACTAATTTAAGAGAAATCACACACCAAATTTGCAACTGGCTGATTAAGGGCGTGATATAAAGCCTATTAAATGAATACTAGTCTATCCATTGATTTCACTGGGTTTTGGATCTAGACCTACATTTACTGGATTAATTATAAAGACAGGTTTAATAATGACTAAACTTATAAACTTCAAGGAAATTGCCTTTATTACTTTAACAAAGGTATACATAGAATTAATGGGCTTGCTAAATTTAGTGGCTTAAAGTGTTAGTTAATTTAAGAAGTGTGAATTTCACTGTTCATAAAAAGGCTCACAATTAAATTCATGTCCTCCTTTTGAGAATTACCTCTGTAGATCCACACTTTTTAGAGCATGTGTTTTAGAATCAGACCTCCTGGGACCTGTGGAAAAACAATAGCCATTAGGGTTGTGTGCATATCTTACTCAAGGAATTAATGCTCTGGGGTGGTTATAGGCACCAAAAAAGGTTATAGGTCATCAAAAAAATATTGATTCTTTGAAACAAACTCTGTGAAACAGGGTCACTTCTGATGAATCTCCCAACTCAAAAAATGTTGAAGAAAAAGTCTTGAAATTGTCAAAACATTTTTGAATGAAAAATTCAATTTTCTGGTTCTAAGATTCATAGATTATAAAAGCCAAAGAAACCATTGTGATGATCTCATCCAGGGATTGGCAACCTTTGGCACGCGGCCCATCAGGGAAAGCCCCTGGTGGGCCGGGATGGTTTGTTTACCTGCTGCGTCCGCAGGTTCGACCAATCGCAGGTCCTACTGGCTGCGGTTCGCCGTCCCAGGCCAATAGGGGCTACGGGAAGCAGCACGGGCCGAGGGATGTGCTGGCCACCCTTCCTGCAGCCCCCATTGGCCTGGGATGGTGAACCGCGGCAAGTGGGAGCTGTGATCGGCCGAACCTGCAGGCGCTGAAGGTAAACAAACCGGCCTACCAGGGAGTTTCCCTGGCAGTCTGCGTGCCAAAGGTTGCCGATCCCTGATCTAGTCTGGCCTCCTGTATAATAGGACATAGGACTTCCCTGAGTTAATTCCTTTTTGATGGAGTTACAGTTAACAGTATATATCAGTATATAGGATAAAATATATTAGAGATGTCACAATTATCCCCAAACCAAATATAATACATCCAGGAAATTCAGAGCTAAAATTAAACTTCAGTAAATCCAAACATGTTAATGTATAGAAAAATTCTGCCAGGGCACCCAAACCACCTTACTTTGTCCTCTAAGGATACCATGCAATAATCATATAGGTATGTGAGTCTTTTTTTCCGAGATGAAATTAATCTGGAAATGTCCTTGTTTGAAAAAACCCAAGTAGAATGTTACCATGAGATATTTCTAGTGATTTGAAATAGCAACCATAAATCATTTTTCAAAATGTTGTCTTTTTGATGATCAGATGCACCAATGTGCTCTGGCTGCTTTCTGCTACTCTGAAGCAGCATGAGAAGCCAGAACATATTGGCCAGTTAAACTGTGTTTACAACTACTTTGTTTTGTTAGAGCACTTTAAAACAGCCACAGTGTACACCCTAGTTTTTTCCATCCTCCACCCTGTCTTCAAATTCCACCTGCTTCTTGCACTTTTCTGTATTCCCTGGTCATCCCACCAAGTTTCTCCCTCTTGCAAGTCCCTCTTGCATTCTCTACATTCCCCTGTGTGCGCACACCTGTTTTCCCTCTCTCCTGCACACCCCTGCATGTGTGTACACATAATTTCCCCACCCATTCTCCTCCACTGTCCACACACACACACACACACACACACACACACACACACACACCCCTCCTGTGAAGTGGGTGCACTCCCCCGCAGGGTCCTAGAACCTGAGCTCAAGCCCTAGTCCGGTAGTCTACACAGCAGTGACACAGCTCCTGTAGCCCAAGCCCCATGAGCACAGGCCAGCCGCAGGTTTTTCTTTGCTGTGGGCAGCACATTCTTAGGAGTGAAGTTAGGCCATGATCTGGAACAGCTCTTAAATATGCCCTGGCTCTGGGCGCACCGAGATAGCAGGCGCGAGGGACAGAGTCTTGCATGCACTGCCCAGCCCCACACCCCTAGGCGGTGATTTATTTCTCCTTTGGCTGCTCCCGATGCCTAAACCAGATGTGCCCACTTGGGAATGCTACCTAGAAGGGGAACATGAATCAATTATTCTGCAGGGAAAGAGTAAAATCTGCAGGGGACATTAATACTGTGCTTGTGCAGTGGCCACAGAATTGCCCCAGGAGTAAATTTCATCTGTATAAAGTCTGCCATCCATCAGATGAATCAGTTCAGCCTCCCTAAATGATGTAGGCCCAGATTACCATAAAGGATGCCTCCGTGTCTCAACCTACTGTGCAGTTTATGTCACAAGCCAGTGGTGAAGGTTGGAGATGCTAGTGGTAGTTTTCTTGGTAGCAGACAATGCCTCTGGAACTCACTTCCAGCAGAAATACAGTTAAGATCAAACTTGCCCTCTTGGCTGAGGCTTTTCCAAGTAACTGAATTTTGGTTTCCTAGCTGACTGGTAAAGTTGCAGGCAACAGGGAAAACAGCGGGACTTTTGGGCTCTCTTACTGAAATCTTGAATGCCTCAACTTAAGCCTTAAAAGGTATTCAGATATCATGAAGATGCATGCCATGCTTACAATAATAAAAGTAGTCTTGTTCAGTAAACTTGTTCCATTTTCTAACTCTCATTCTGGATCCCTGCACAACTATCAGACACGTTTCTGGGGTACCAGTTGTAGTAGGAAGAGGTCTTGAAACTTAAGCCCTTGTATCAGAGGACTGGTATGAGGCCTGAGGCCTGGACTAAAGTGGTGGTCAAAGCTTTGCTAATATAAAGCAAAGTCAGGTTGTGAACTGGAGGCAGGCCTTGCTCACAGAATCTGGCAATAACAGGGCTAATATTGCAGAAACATACATTCCTAAGTAGTGTTAGTTACAAGAAAATACACGCAAACACATTCCAGAAGGATGGTACCAGAACACCCAGATACCAGCACATTCCCCAAGATAACGGGAACACACTGACTCATCCTAAAGATTAGGTCAGGATGACAGCATGATGGATAGAGATGTTTTGATTGAACCAACAGGTACAAGACAGTGGGTGGCGCCCAGATATGTCAGGGGTAATACGTAACTTGCTTGTATTGCTGTATAAAGAAGCATCTCAGAGGGAGTGTCTTTGGCTAGCCTAGGGGGGCAGTGGAAAGTCCCGCCACTGACTGAGCTGCGTCCATTGTCATGGGCATACATTGCAGTGTAACTGTAGACATTGATCCGGGAAGCTAGGACTGTGCTTCGTCAGCAATAAACCTGGCTGGGTCCCTTCGTACCTTAATCAATCTTGTGGTTATTGGGTGGTTCACTCAAGGTCTACTGAGCCAGCTGTCTGCACAGAGCTGGGACAGCACACAGGGAGAACACACACACGCAGCAAAACATCTAATTACACCAGTGATCAAAGAGAAAATTAAACTTCTGACTATATTTGAAACAATAGCAACAGCTATTTTGGAACCTTAGTTTACTGGCTTCTTCTTACAGGGAATTTAGGACAGTCATATTTTCCCCCAGATAAATCATACACAATCATATAAAAAGAACAACTCTGTAATCTCTAAAGCCAAGTCTTCTCTCTCCCCTCCTCAGAGGCTTGGAAGATGCTGACTTTAGTGGAAGTGTTGTGGTTTCACTTAAATATGACAGAATACCACTCTATGGTAGTTCTGCCTGCAACAATGCAGATGGGGATTGGGGTGGTAGCTGGGCTAGTGGGTCCACCACTACACATATCTACTAGCTAAAACTTCCCATTTATAAGTTTACTGGGCAGCAGCTCATGGGCTATTTTAGCATCTGTGGACTGGCTATACTGGTGACCCATAATCTGCAGGGGAAAACTCTATTTCTCTGGACCCCCACAGTGATCCCCATGAAAGTCTGATTGCTTGGAACCTACATTTAAAAAATATTTTGTATCTTTATATGGATTGTCATTGCATTATATTAATATGTTCCCTATTCACTCTGGAGTCAGTATATCAATTCTGTTAAATCTGATACTTGGGGAAGTGCAATACAAATCTTCATGCTTCTATTTCATTTCCTTTAGGATCTTGACATAGGTGCAAAGAATGTGAAACTATATATTGATGAGAACCTTGTATTCAGTGGTCAGTTAGAAAAAGGCTGTGGAGATCTAACCACTGATTTCAGCACTACAATCAACCTTAAAGACAATAGACAAGAGATTGCTGCACATTCTACACAAGGAAGAAAACAATCAAATGGAGCTAATAGCACAGGCAATAAGGAGGACCTGTACTTAAAATATCCACAGCCAGACTGGGCTTTATTACACTGGAAATCTTCCTTAGAAGAAAATCTCCCTGAGGAAATGATGAATTCCATCAACTTTAGGAAAGAGAAATTGACTAGATTAGAAGAAGATCTGAAGGTGTTATCAACTCCTGTGTCTACGAAGGCTCTCAAGAATGACGTGTCAGAATCAGCAGTTGTGGAGTACATTCAGTCTGATGATGAGCTTACTATGAGTGAGCAAATGGAAAAACTAACCAGAAGAAAATTATCTGAATCTACAGGTGTAACTCCATCTTGGTTACAGTCCTCTTCCCAAGTGACAGAGAAGTACCATAAACAGAAACCCTCCTGGCTGGATACAAAGCACCCTTTAGATTTGAGAGTTCAAGAGCAGTCTGATGGCACCATGAGGGGCTGTCCAGGACTAACTGATGAGACTATCAAATGTCACGGAAGTGAACTGGGGAGATCCAACAGTAGGAATGCAAATGGAGATGAGAAGACACAAATGGTAACCAGTAAAGGCTGTACTATTAACTTGGACATTTTAGACCAGCTTCCCAACAAGTATTGCTGCACCCCTGAATGTCCTGCTAGTGGGAGGAGAAGCAGCAGAGGTGTAAGAAAGGAGGGTTTATGTACAAGTCATGGAGATGAAGGTCTGACACACACAGGTAAGAGCTGAAGACAGCATCCTTAACTCAAGCTCTGCTTACATGTTCTCCATTATCAGGATATATGAGACAGGTTTTAGTTACACTAATGCAGTATTTAGTTTTTGTTGTTCTCGAGCAGGACAGAGACACCACTGTACTGAGCATACTGCAAACATATAATGCGAGAGAAGTCCTTGTCCTGAACAGCTTGCATTCTAAGTTTGGGTGTCAGTCATGCTCAGAGGAAGAATGGATTTCATGGTTAATTATGTTGGAAGGTTATCTTTGCAATAGGACTGGTTGGAAATTCTGATGAAACTGTGAATTTATTAAATACTGTGTATTTATTAAACCTGAAATGTTTTGTAAAAATGGTTTAGATTTGATGAATTTTCATTGATTCTCAGGCAGGATTCTGTCAGAAACATGACTGGTTTCCTGCCAGTTGACCTGGTGGATGTGCTGGGGAGCCTGCATTTCCAGGGTATGTGGCTCCAGATCAGCCCCGTCATGTGAGGGCTTCCAGATTCCCTTTCATGGAGCCTGGGAGCCCTGGCTCTAGCCAAGGCTCAGCTTCTAGTTCTCCAGCAGGAAGCATTTAAGCCCTCAGAACTCCAGCCTGATCCAGGGCTCTCAGAGTTTCCAGGCTTCCAGCCACATAGGCAGGAGCCTGGAAGTCCTGGGATGGGCTCCCAGGATTTGTGGCTCCAGGGTCACCCCACCATACAGATGTCCTAGCCATGGACTCTGGGCCTTCCAGACTCTCAAGCCAGCTAACCAACCTATTTCCAAGAAAGTGGACAAGCTGTACCAAATCCTCTGAGGGTTTTTCATACTTTCATGTGCATCTTCCTCTTAACTCCCTAGGACTGGCAGCAACAGTATAGAGGTCAAGATCTGGGTATTTACACTAAGCCCCTAATGACAGAGAAGGGAAAAGGTTTCAGAGTAGTAGCCGTGTTAGTCTCTATACGCAAAAAGAAAAGGAGTACTTGTGGCATCTTAGAGACTAACCAATTTATTTGAGCATAAGCTTTCGTGAGCTACAGCTCACTTCATCGGATGCATTCAGTGGAAAATACAGTGAGGAGATTTATATACACGCAGAACAAGAAAAAATGGGTATTTATCATGCACACTGTAAGGAGAGCAATCACTTAAGATGAGCTATTACCAGCAGGAGAGTGGGGGGGGGGGGGGGAGAAAATCTTTTGTAGTGATAATCAAGGTCATTGTGGTTTAATTTTTTTAAAGTTGATTTAACAAGGTCCTAATATATGAACAGAAGGGCTCAGTCATGCTAGGTTTCAATCTTTATCTTCACTGAAACTTGACAGTGAGAAGGAGTATTAAGACATGTGACTAAACACAGCTGTCTTTTCTCCCCCCCCCACTCTCCTGCTGATAATAGCTCATCTTAAGTGATCACTCTCCTTACAGTGTGCATGATAAACACCCATTTGTTCATGTTCTGTGTGTATATAAATCTCCTCACTGTATTTTCCACTGAATGCATCCGATGAAGTGAGCTGTAGCTTACGAAAGCTTATTCTAAAATAAATTGGTTAGTCTCTAAGGTGCCACAAGTACTCCTTTTCTTAGAGGGGAAAAGATTAGATTCTTTGGGAAGGAAGCTGTTTTCTTCATTTGCAATTCTCATATTTAAAGAAGATGATCAGGCAATGATGGTCACATATACATTTCATATCTGGGACAAAAATTCACTTTTTTACAAATAATCTCCCAGAAGAACATAGTAAATTAGCCAATGCCCTTATCAAGGAGAGTCAAAATGTGGACAGACACCCTTAGAGCTTCATTTGACATTTCGGATGCTGCTCCTAGATTGGTTGCCTTTTCTGTAACTCATTGCTGACATGCTTGGTTCTTCTTCGAGATGTATCCCTATGGATGCTTCACTGTGGGTGTGTCTGTGTCCCTGCGCTTCTGATCAGAGATCTTCGGTAGCAATGTCTGTTCGGCCAGTGCATGCTCTTTCCCTCCCTTGTGTTCTGTGTGCCTTAAGGCGAATTAGTGTTGAACCACCCTTAGTTCCTTCTCAACCGCCAATTAGCAATCTGTTCACAGATACTTTAGGTCTTTAGAAATGTTCCCTTAGTGTTTTCGTTCACCCTTTTCTTCTTAGTGTTATGGGGTTTCTGTTAGTTTTTTCTTTCCTGTTTAAAAATAAATAAATAACCCCCCTAGTTTTTTATTTTATCCCCTTCTCTTCCCGAGGGTTTGCCCCCAGTAAGGGACATGCCTGGTTCCCCTGGGTTAAAGAGGCACCTCTCCTGCAGGGAAGCCGTAGTGGTTACAGACAGACATTCCCTCTGTGTGCGGTGCCTTGGAGAGGCCCACATTCCACAAAAGTGTACTTTTTGCTGGCAGCTAAAAGCCAGATCCCAAAAAAGCCAGGAACTAAAGTTGAAACTACTCCTGATGGGGGGATACAGTGAACTCTTGTGTCCGCCAACATCATACAAAATCTACCTCTTATGATAGGGACTGGAAAAGGCTTGACTTGTTTGGAAGGAAGGCCTATTCTTCATCGACGTTGCAATTCAGAATTGCAAATTACCAGCCTTAATGGCAAAATGTGACCACAAGAACTACGCCAAATTTAACATTTTTATTGACCACCTGCCAGAACCACAATGAGAACAGTTTCAGGCTATTGTATATGAGGGGCAGTTAGTGGCAAGAACAGCACTCCAGACAGCATTAGGTGCTGTGGTTACAATGGCCTGCTTGGTATCAACAGTGGTTGTGATGCAATGGACATCATGGTTATACCTTTTGGAGTTCCCAAAGAAGGTTTAGACGATAGTAGAAGATCTCTCTTTTGAAGGCACAAAATTGTTTGCAGTTAAGACTGATGCATCACTCCACATTCTCAAAATTGTAGGGCCACACTATGGTCACTGGGGATCTACACACTGGGTCAGAAACGGAAATTTAGTCCTCAGTATTTCCACAAATGACGTCATCCCCAGTCCCCTCCACAGTGCTACTATGAGTCACAGCAAAAGAAGACTAAATTTCAGAGGTGTAAACCATCAGCCCCTCAATCTTCAACGTCAAAACCTTCTACCTCGAAGCACCAGTTTTGATGCCTTGGACAAGACTCTGAGAGGCCACTTCCTACAGCATTAGCTGCAACTTTCAGACCTTCCACATCCCTTTGGATGCTGTCTTGCTCTGTTTCTTCAAAATTGGGAACACATATTTACCGACAAATGTTTTGGAGATTGTCTCCAATGGATACTTTAAGCATTTCACCTCCCTCCCCATCCCTCTTCAGGGACCTTTCTCATGAGAGACTGTTAAGACAGGAAATAGATCACCTCCTATGCCTGGAAGCCTGTGACTAAACACAGCTGTTCCAGTACATCTCAGAGGCAAAAGGTTTTTATTCCCGATTTTTCCTGATCCCCAAGAAAAAAGGAGGTTGGAGACCCATACTGCGCCTCAGAGCACTGAACAAATATATGAAGGCAGAAAAACTCAGGATGGTCATGCTAGCAGTGATTATTCTATCTCTGGAACAGGGAAATTGGTTCTCAGCCCTTGATCTCCAGAATGCATATTTCCACAAATCCATTATATCATCCCTAAGATAATTCCTCTGGTTTACCCTCAGTCAGGACTATTATCATCACAGAGTACTTCCTTTCAGCTTCTCATCAGCTCCCAGAATGTTCTCCAAGGTCCTCTCTGTAGTATTGGCTTATCTACGCACCCTGGTGATTATAATTTACCCATACTTGGATGACAGTCTCCTCAGGATCTGCTCCTTCAAAGATGCCCAAGGGGTCACCCACGGAGCTATGGACATATTCACGAAGCTGGGCCTACAAATCAATGTCCAAAAATCGACCTTAACTCTGGTACAGTGTTTGGAGTTTATCGGAGCCAATCTCGACTCACTGCAAGCAAAAGCACTCCTCTCGTAACACAGATTTCACAGACTGCCCCCGCTCATAAAGACAATTCAAGCCAGCCCACAAACGTCAGCCAGACATTGCTTCCAGCTTCTGGGACATATGGCAGCAAGCACATTTATACTATCTTATGCCAGACTATACATGAGGTGTCTTCAGGCATGGTTCAGATCTGTTTACAGACCAAACAAAGACAAACCTCTTTCAATGCCCTCCAGGGTCAAACACTCCCTGGATTGGTGGAAAGACCCAACAAATGTCTGTATGGAGGTCCTGTTCACACATCTTCCCCAACATTGTATCCCTAATTGGCTGGGGAGTGCATCTCAACAACTTCAAGACTCAGAGCAAGTGGTCGCCCATGGAGACAACTCTCCACATCAACCTCCTCGAACTCGGAGTCAGAAATACTTGCGCTCACTTTCTTCCACTGATCAGAAATACGCACACAAAAATTATGACAGACAACATAGCGTGCATGTATTACATAAATCGTCAAGTGGGACAAGATCATCTTCCCTATGCACAGAAGCGCTAAAGCTGTGGAACTGGTGCATTCACCACAATGTTTTAATATCAGCAGCTTATCTACTGGTAGTGCAGAACATAACAGCAAACAGTCTCAATTGCAAGTTCTTACATGACCATGAGTGGGAAATGACCCCAACAGCATATTCTATCAATGGGGACCCCGATGATAGACTTGTTCGCTACTTACCTGAACAGGAAATGCCCACGCTATTGCTCCAGAGCCAGCCTCGGGAAACACTCATAAGGGGATGCTCTCCTTCTCCCATGGGACAAGAGCCTTTCTCCCATTCCCTCTGCTGTTCAAGGTCCTGATAAAAATAAAAAGAGAAAAAGCAAACGTCATTCTGATTGCTCCCAACAGGCCGAGACAGACACGTTACCCACGTGTACCCTGGCAACATGTCCCCCAGTCCCTCTTCAGCCCACCCCTTACCTCCTTTCACAGAACAAAGGATAAACTCTCCATCCCAACCTGCGGATCCTCTGTCTCAAAACTTGATTCCTTCATGGTTCCAACACATAGAGATCTGCTGCTCCGAGGAG